ATGTACACCTCTTACCGATTCCTTCTCCATCTCAGATCGATCTATCGGGTCACCGGCCATCCCTCTATAGCTTTTTCCATACTTCTTACATCGCATTCTTCACTCCTAGTCACCTAGGTCACTGCTTGCAGTGAACTCGGCTTAGATGCTCATATCCAAGCCTCCAGCTTGCTGTGCTGCTGCCACTTGAGAATCCATTACCTGCCCTTTTTATGCAAAATTTCTGGCTACGTTTCGTTGTCCTTGTTCCCCTTGAATACGGGTACTCCCTCATGCACGGCATCAGTACTGACACCGTGTCTGTTGCCACTATATAGTGTCACCACTATAGCCAATATGAATATCCGATTGAGTACGTGGGAAGCGCGAAATTGTTAGATAGATCGGTCACAAACCCAAGAAGGAGCACCGTTGCAGTCTGTACGTTGCTGGATTGGCCTTGTTTCGGTTGTCACTTGTCCCACAACACCAAGAAATAAAAGTGAACGACAGCTGTCCTTCCGTTTGTTCTGAAAAAAGTAATAAAAAAATTAAAAAAAAACATTTATGCAAGGGGTAGCCTGAGGGTACTGCGTGAGTCTCACGGCTAACGTCGACAAGCAGGGCGTTGCCACTTTCTTCTTAGTTGGAGCACACCGTCCCAAGTCCACTTCATCATCCAGACATGGCACACACGTTTTTCCCTCTTGTCATCTAGAGCGATCATATGCATAAAATGCTAATAACTTATCATTTTCTGATTACAAGCAGTCGGAGCTAGCACTTAATGGCTTTTTTTAATGTACCATTCGTTTTCTGGAGTTGACAGCAGTGACTCGGGGCTGGTGATCATTAATCTTACTTCCTTGTTAAATTGACGAAGTAGACCTCAGTTAAGCTAGGATTCTTATCAATTATCCGGGAAGCTATTGGTCGTCCGCTTTTTACTTGTTTACTGTCAATGTTCACATTAACCCTTCTTTCTGCGCAACAAGGACCCTATGTCATGATGCTTTGGTAAGCCAAAAACTACCGCCCGTTCTCAACTAGTCCAACAGCTAGCCTCCCTGCTAGCTACCTCAACGACAAAGTTTTCACCTTCCCAAAACCGGGCACCTACTCTGGCCCAACTAGTACTTGGCTTCTAGATCAGCAAACGTATTCACCTTTCTTGGGTCCATTTGGCTTGCTATCATCCTCTTTTAGATTTTTTCTATTGACACCGTTGTATCTTATGCCTCCTAACACTCGCCACCCGCTACTGCTTTCATTCTATTTCTTTCTCGTCGCCCCACTTCCCAAGCTTCAAACCTCGGCTGCAGTTGCCCAAATGCCCCGTAGAACTGTTATTCATTCAAATTGGCTGGTGTCCGGTCTACATCCACATGATCCTCCAACGAAAGGGAAATTACCCGTGAGCCCACACCTGCATGACTATCTGTGTCAATCTCCGTCCCATCCATAACAAACTGCCACGGAACTGCGTATCCATTCTCCGATCGCGGCACCCTTGACGACCGTTACGGAGCTATCCATAAGCCGAAGCCTGTCAGTGTGGTGATGGCATGACACTGTTATACCCAGTGGGATAGCACTCCCGCAACTATTTTCTCCAGAATCTCTACCGCAACCCCTCGCCCACGCCAGCCTGTAGTCACAACTACGAGGAAATTTTACACTCGGCCCTGTCTCCGGGATGAGCTGTTTCGTACCCGATAAATTTCTGCTCAGATAGGGTCAGCCTGATTTTTCTGCTGCAATTTCGGCTTGTCTTCCCAACAAGTTTAAATCCGTATACGGTGTTCGGGTTTCCCTATGTATTAGCACCATGTCCCCATACAACCTCTCCCCTTCATTAGACTTCCCTACAACGGTTCAACCAATGAGTCTGCTTAGTTTCATATTGAACCACATTTCTGGGACAAAACTGGCCAGGTGCTCCCGATTTGAATTATCCCACCTCTATCTCCACTTTTGCTCGTTGTGACTCCGGCCATTTACCTAACCGCCCAAGGTCACTCATGGCCAGCAATGGCTTTCAGCTTTAGTTCATGCCAGCTGGCTGTGTCTTTGAACCAGTCGGACCTCATGCTCATTGTTCCCAACAGGTTGGGAAAGAAACCTATTGCTACTATTTTGTCGGATATTCCACACTGTTTATGACGTTGTCCTCTTTTTGTGCAATCCGCACCCCCACAAATCCTTCACTTATGCCTCATTCTGACTCTAAAACTATGGTCATGGCAGACGGTATGCCACCCACAAGTTGGAAATAAACATTATTATTATTATTGTTATTAAGAAGCTTTGTTCTATTAACGACCCCGGAGGATGGAGCAAGGAAGAATCCCAAATAAATGAGTGCCCATCGACTAGTAATCCAGAAAATCAACGTAAAAATTCATAGCGCCCGTGGCTTGCATAATAGCTAAGCACAGACATTGGCACATCACCTGTGCTTTCTCTCGTTACAGGCAATTATTTTTCGTTTCTTTGTGAATGTGCTCGCGTTTAGCACGGTTGCTTGGTGCTCAGGAATGGGGAATAGTTTGGCGTTGTTTAGAGACTTTTACGTAGGTGCTCTCAGTTCCCCAAAGATGATGGATCCGAAAGAACCGGCATGTGTTTGGAGATTCTGTGAACCCCCTTTTTGGCGGGCACATCACTCATCACTTCCAGTCCGGCCAGTCGGCAGAAGATGTATCGGATTCTCCGTTACAGTTTCTGTCGTGGAACATCTGGTCCCTTTGATCGTCGCTAAAACTTCCCTGTTTCTCCTGGGCGTGTTGCTGTGAATAAGAGTGCAGCAAACGAATACCTAAGAAGCAGTCGTTTTGGTAACACAAACAATTGATTTGAAACGAGCAAAGCAACTCAATGTGACAAAGCCAATCATCAACGCCGTTGTGCACAACGTCACTGGAAACAGCAAATTTGGTTTTCATGCGCACGCACTGGGCTGGAGCAGTGAGCTGAGATTTCGCAAAACCTTGCCATATGCATAATCTTTAACCACATTGCCTATTCTTGACACTGCGTACGTAACAGATTTTCCATGAGCTTTTCTGCTGCATCAGGAAAGTTTCACTCGGGCTTTTGGTATCCAACTCCCCACGTTGTTTTCCAGCATGGATGTGACTGATTGAGATGTTCTTCGGTGAATTTAGCCAGCCATGAATAAAAAACCTGATCTTAATATTCAGTCCCAAAAGGTTGTCTTAGGACTAGTAGGCTGGCCGTGGCGTTGATAGTCCAAAAATATCATCTGGCCGGGTGAGAAACACTGAAGAGAGTGGATGCTCCGTCGCGTGGAGGGAACGGTTACGGCGCTCCCACAGGGCTATCCGATATATCAATCTGGGTATTACGCCATTTTAAATGTCCCCAATAAATATGAGCATATTATCGTGCGGAGCTCATTAGAAATCTTTCAAGGTATTAGAAAACACAGAGTAAGGTTAGAAGCAGCCGCTGAAGGGTAGCATATCATGGCCTATTTCGGTGGAGTGATTCCAAACAACCGTCTCGACTTGAACACTTGGGACGTGTTTGGACCAGCGGACACCAAAATTTTCAGCTAGTCCAATGCTGTATGCACTATACTTGGGGGGAATTTCCCATAGTGTAGCGTCACGCCAAACTTTGTCGAAAGCAGGTTGAAACCATCAGCATGGCCCAATATGGCAGCTATTTCTGTGCCGGCAATTTAATGAGTTTTCACTCGAAGGTTGGCCATCAAGCCAGCTTCCGGTTTGCAGTATTTCCTATAGCCCTCACAAGTGGACCCACGAGCCTCGCCCGTATGTAGACTAGGTCTGCTAAAAGAGCCCAAGCTGGGTTGCGTTTTCGGTTATCGGGAGCAACCGGAGAGCTGGAAAAGTAGGGCGGTTGGCCCTCTCTGGAGTGACCGACCCTTCTTCAGTTACGGCAGCGTGTTCGTTTAGCATCCTGCAGCACTGATAGCATGCACGAAAAACGCAAAACCAAAGCTTTGTTTGGATGCGCTGTGCAAGTGAAGTCATCGCTTGCTTTCAGTCACAATGTCACTAGCTTACATAAATGTACGAAGATATTGGTAACGTTTTGTAACTGGATCAGTAACCAAGTACATAGATGTTTCCACTGTTTCCTAATTGGGCTTGCCCCACACCTAGCTCATTTCTTCGTCCAAGCACAAAGCGTGTGTGATCCTCTTCCTCCTGTTCCGGAAATGGATTCTGCTTGTCGCCTGCACTCGTTTTCGAGCATTGACCCCATTTACTGAAGCTGATTACTTGGAGCCGGTAATGGTAGATCAGATGGGCGTAAAGCATTGGAGTGAATTAAAATCACAATTACTTCTCCTGTATTGTGGTGCACATCCAGTCCAACTAACCACCTCCTGCACTCTTGTGCCGCTCACTAGTTAGCTACGAAACCACGAGTTAACACTTCTATTTCAATCTGATTGCCCTTCACAAAGCAGCCCCGCAGATGTAAAAACTTTCAGAATCAACGAATTTCTGCCGTCCTGCGCCGTAAAAGAACGACAGTGTTGCTACTCGCGGGTGGATATCCTGATGAGGTTCCATCACGTTGTGCCCCATCAGATTCCGGTGGCCATATCACCTCCCCGAAGCTTTGCTCGGGCTTTGCGCCGGCTGAGCACACTATGCGTCTGGCCTCCTTCTAAGGTCCTGCGCCTATTGGCTGAGGGTCGTACGGTCAGTCCACATGTCAGTCAGCACACCCTTGCCCCCATACCATTTCATATGAGCTTACCTGCCTCAAGTTAAGTGCACCTTCTCCACGCTCCATTTATGAACTCCTGGTCCTGCGACCAGTGCTGTTTCTGATCTACGTCAACGACCTCTCAGATGTTCTTGCAAGTCCATGTCTACTTTTCGCGGACGACTTGAAATCCTGGAGTTCCAATGCCAGTGCCCTCCAAATGGATGTAGACGCTGCCAAGCAGTGGTCGTTGGACTGACTTCCTCTTAATGATGAAAAGTGTATCCATATGTCGTTTGAAGGGGTTTCAGTGAATGCCTTTGTTATGCATGGTGAGAAAGGACCAGAAAACGTCACGAGGATAGGTGCCAAAAAATGTTTGGGCATCTGGGTCTCCTCAAACTTGTCCTGCTCACTGTGTCATCAGAAATCGGCCCAAAAGGCATTCGCCATTCCAAGGATGATCCGGCGCACCTTCTCCCGTATTACTCGCATGGACTTCCAAGCGCTCTATGGGGCCTACGTCAGACCGCACCTGGAATACGCCAGCCAAGTTGTCTACTCAGGACGCACGAAAGACGTCACCCTCATTGATCGTGTCCAGCGAGCCGCCACGAGAATAGATGCCGGCCTCAAATCCGTGGACTGCGAAACGCGCCGCCCGATGCTTGGTCTCTTTTCCCATGGAGTACCGCCGCCTCCGAGGGACGTAATTCTCACTTATACCCTGTTTGAAGAAAGCTTGGCCAACTGTTCTTTACCGTTGACTCAGCAAACACACGGCTGGGACATAGTAAGAAAATTATCAAGCTCAGAGCACACACATTCATTAGACAAATTTTTTCTCATTTCGGGTAGTAAGTGCGCGGAATGACTTTACTCTGACGGTTGTTCACGCTGCTTCTAGAACCCAGTTTAAAGCACTATTAGACACTTATCTATGCGAATCCTCGCGCTGGCGAGCATACTGCCCCGCGCTGAGAACATAAAGAGCAGTGCTACACCCTTTTTTCACTTGTGCCTTTCAGGTGAACAACAGCCACTGACCAACAAGAACAAAAGCGGCCCGGGAAACTTGGGCGAATCCTCGATCCTGTGCATCAATCCGTGAATCCGTGAAAGGGTGAAGCTATTGCCTCGAGCAAATCCGCACACCACAAGGAGCCATTGTGTAACGTAACTGACTAACAAATTTAACTGCGGCTTAAGAAACAAATCTGAATTCTCTAGATAGAGCACTGAAAAATCAAGCTTTACCTGTTGGCGTCAGGTGTGCGCACAAGATGTGTTGCATCCTTGAAGGTACCGAGCTAAGAGACTTGTAATATCCGGTAGAAAAGCACAAGTAAATGTGATGAGGAATCTCCGGGTTTGGACGTACGAGGACAGCCGTCTGCAAACGGATCGCGAACGCGAATTCCAGAAGCCAAAAATGAACATCAAGAACCCTGTGTGCAAAGGTAGCCAAGATAAACCACATTCCATCGCACTGGTGTGAACCCACTGGAAACACAACCATTGGGTAGTTGCCGCTGCATGGCCCGTTTATTTCATATTTGCAGTGGTCACTACTGCACACTGTGAAGTTGTGTTTTCGCACACATACATGGTTACGTTGCCAGTAATAAGTACCTTGTTTGGCAGACTTAACGCTGCTGACAACCTAGCCGGACCATCGGTTCCTTAATTTGCTGCTTCAAAGCGGTATGTGGGACTGTAAAGGCCTGAAGCAGTTTTTTAAATATGAACGTGCAAACCGCCCGAAAAAGCTGTGACTCACGGCAGGCTCCTGTTACAGAAGTTTGTTTCACGGATGCACGGGTTGATACACAGGATCGAAGAGCAAAAAATTTCATTACGAAGAAGTAGGTACAAAAATGTAAAGTTGTGTGGCATTCAGATGTTTTTGATCTTGAATTTGAACTGTCTGGTCGGCGTTGAGTGATTGGTTGGTTTAGAGCCCTGGACTCGCGTAAGCCGAAAAACCTCGTCGCTGAGTGGCTACCTGATCGACCAATCGCTGGTAGGTTTCATTACCGGTGGCTCGCGTCCTTCCTGAGGCGCTTTCGTCGGAGCCGAATGTCCCAGGTAAGTTTCGGATATCCTGAGGATATTTTCGGAAGTCTGAACTTCCTGTCGGAGGAGGCGTCTTTCGCAAACCCATAACTCTGAGAAGAAGCCTTTGAATAGTTCACTGGAAGCTCTAACGCAGTCAGATCTTTGGGAATAAACTGCACGAAACCTACCAACAAACCTCCAAGGTGTTCTTCCTTGGTCAACGGAATTTAGAAATGGCCCACTTATCGAAGAACGCGAACGCTCACGATTGGGTGGTAGCATGCGTGATGCCTTGGGTTGCCTGGCACTTGGCACTTCAACCGTGCACACTACGGCAAATATTTTCCCTGGGTATATTGTACGGCCTGAACAGTAGCTAGGCTTGGGCAACCTGGCAGTATTCCAGCCCTCGTGCTTCCTTCGGGTGGCATGGCAGCTAGGCACCGCAAGGGTGCTACAGCTGAACAACCCTGAACAGTAGCTCAACACCATAACACGACGTGAAACTGTAGTAGTGAACATGTTGCCAAGTAGGACCGGGAAGACTGTACTTTATTTACAGTGTGCCTGCGTCTCGTTTTGTAGGGTAACAAACCGCAGTATCACTGAAGCTAACAGCCGTCATGCAACTGGGTTGGAGCTTATACCTCTGTACTCGGTGTATTCTCGCTTAGGATATCTTTTGCGATTGAGAGGTATGCTGATTAATTGAATCGGGACTGGGAATTCACTCTTGTTCCCAAATTATCAAGGTCGTAAGTTCATTCAGGTACTTTCTAGAACCAATATACCTAAACTGTTAGTGGACTTCTACTCCCATGGGAAAAAGAGTGTACGGGATCCTGGAGGTGACCTGTGGGAACCTCATAGCTCATGATCGCCTTGCGTATGATCGCGAAAGGGTACCGTATTTTATGAGCCATGGAGCTCTTCATGGTGGACAGACGCTGTCCGAAAATTCATTCCAACCTTCTAGAAGATGGCACCAGTGTCTCAAACGGAGAATCTACAGCTGGAGTTAGCCACCAAGATGATATCAAAAAATACGCAACAGCCACATCGATCGATGTTTATGGGTGAACCTGTTCACCCTTGGGTACGCCTGGGCCCGATTTTTATCCTCAACCTGATAGCATCTCAGCCCTCGTGCTTCTTCCGGGGCAACTACGTATCCTGACTGGAAACCTTTTCTTTCACAACGAAGAAGTACACGAGAGAGAATCTATTCAAACCGAAAAGACTACGGCTTCGAGGCGTCAACCACTTATTTTGATTCTTCATACGGCTCACAAACCCATGGAAAGATTTACCGAAGTGTATGGTAATGTCATCTTCGGTCACCATTCAAAACCCACTGCAAATGTTTTTGGTGCTATTTGGACCCATGGAGATGCGCGCTAACACCTGTATATCCGTACACTCAAATTCCTGGTTTAGATTGACGTCCCCTGAGGATTCAATTATCATAGCTTCACAATTTTGACGAGACTTTTAACTCGTGGGTCAGAAATTTTTCCGATGATTAGGCGAGGAGTTTGTTTCCCAAAGTTCACGGAGAAATTCACCGAAAGTTTTCACCGAACGCATCCATGATCTTATTCGACGTGGGTTGTCCGGAGTAGAGTTTCGTCACTGGTGGTTTATCATAGGGAGTACCACATCAACGTCTAACGCGCATGAATCTAGTACTCGTCGACAGTAGTTAATCGGTTTGAAGCAGAAGACTCACGATGGTCATTACGCTTTGCGTCGAAGCTGAACATCCTGCCTAGTCGCGCATCCAGCACTGAAATGTCCTACACGCGCATTGCGTTCACCGTTGCTAGGACGATATCTGAGATCATGCTGGGTAGAAGAGCGACTGGCTCTCGATACGAAGCACATTTTCCCTCAACACTAGCAGCATATCAAGGACAAAGTTGAAGAGGGAAGCTGAAAGAGAACAGTCTTACACCACTAGACGTGGTGAACTCAGGCGGAAGCTTGCCTTATACTCGTACGCACCCACAGGAATTCGCATAGTGTCCTCATAAAGGACGTAAATTTGAGAAGGACAACTTTGATCGCCAGACACTGCCAAAGTTTCTGGCCATTGACGGAATCAGATCAATAAGACCGATCAGCGTGGGATGTCTGAGGGACCGGCGCTGTTCTACAATTTGTCTCGAGGCAAAGTTATGGTCGGCGCATCCTCGACCAAGGCGAAACCCAGTTTGATCCCTACGAATCTGTCTCTCCCGATAATCCATCAAGCGGCGCAAAATACGAGGCTGATAACACGATGGTTGCGCGTGACGTTCTTGTACCCTCTTTGAAAACTGGGATGACGGTCGGGGAGCTCCATCCGGCTAGTATTCTGTTTTCATTTCAAATCCTTTGCAGTGTGGTCGTCAGATTTCGTCAGGACCTCGCCACCTTTTTAGGGTGTGGGCTGTGAACCTTCTGGGCCAGGTTCCTTGTTGCGCTTCAGGATTGATCTCTCACTGGATGTCGGTTGATGATGGCGGATCCTTGTCAGCGTTCCATGCGGGCACGCTGGGTTCTTCCAGTGGTTGTATTGAAGTAGACCAGCTGAACAGTTCTTTGACGGGTTTATTCTATCGCTCAAGACGATGACTGAGGGAGTGAATTACTGTTGTGCGCATATTGTTTCACTGACATCTGCCTTACTTTGACCGGTTGATTGAATCACCTGAAAGGGGCGCGGTTGTTGCCTGTATTGGAAGCCTTCTTTTTCGCCTGAGCCTTCGAAATTCACGATCGTACTCTGTAATTCTTCAGGCTTGTGATTATCTGGTGTTTGAGGGATCTGCTTGCGCCATCGCGGTCGCTAGTTTCCGGTATGGCCTTTCTGGCAGCAATAAGAGCTGATCTTGACGATATCCAGTGTTCACTTAGTCGGGCCAGATGGCCGGAACAAACAGTTCTGAAATCTTAGAGCATTGCTTCCTTAACTCGTCTCCATTCAACCTCCAAGCAATCTTCGTCTTCCGCATGGCTGTGCGTTTCCATCAGCCTTGTAGTAAGATCAGCTCGATACTCGTGAACTACTGAAACTTGTCGATGTTGATGGACGGAGCTGCTCTCCTGTGGCACGCGTAATGCTGGTAGAGAGCAAAGTTCTAGCCGGGTTCGTACGATGACGTGATTAGAGTCAAGTTGCGCACACCAGAAGGATCGACGATCTTTAAGTGAGGCCCTCCATCGGCAACTGGTAGGCACATCGTCTAATTGAGTCACGACTGTCTTGTGGTAGGTGGCCTTCATGTAACTCGATGTGAGTGTTTGTTTGAAGTTTGTACTGGCTAGGAACGGACGATGATCTGCTCACCACTGAAGCACTCACTTTCCATTATCCGTACACTGAGCATCGACTCCAAACGTAACATTTAATGGTGCTTCTCCCGGGCCTAGCCGTCCAACTTGGGCACTCATGTCACCTTCGAGGATCACAATATCTGTCCTTCTTGCTGACCGAAGCAGTCACCATAGATCTTGAAATGACCTTCTAAGTCTTAGAACTCTAGTCCGTCGGGGCATATGCAAATACGACAAATGAACATCTTTTACCGGATCGACCTGAATTGGCGCGGGCCAACCGCATAGCGCAAAGGTGACGGTTTACGGATCTAGTCCAGTATAGCGCTTTTAGTCTTGCGGCTGAGTGCAACACCCACACTGTAGATACCAAGAGCCATTGCGTTAGAATCGCCAGGTACTCAGAGAGTGACATGTGGAACATCTGAGCTCGTTGTAATATGCTTGAGCTGCACGACGGATGTTTGGGTTGCATTCGTGTTTCGGGAACACATACATCGACAAGTAGGGAATGCAAGGTTTTAGCAAAAAGTGCCTGTTGTCCAGTTTGACATAGAGTACGGACCTCAGAGGTGCCGACGTTGGTCAGATCTTTTGAGGTTAGTTTATTTCTTTGGGCGAAGGTTTAGACAAAATAGTGGCTAGGGGATTGGCAGCTGGGTTGATTGCACTGGCTGTGCGATTAGTGGTAAGATAGTGTGTTACCCCACCCTGAGACTGACTCAAAAGTCTGACGCACATGACAGTGGGAGGATGTAGGGTTTCGTTCGGGAACCTCGCCCCTAATCTTTGATTCAAGAGTCTGAACTGCTAGACAGCGGTTGTTGGGGTTCTCCTGGGGGACCCTTTCCGGAGCCGATGATCCAATATTCTGGCCCACTTGGCTGCAGAGGGCCGGCCTGGCCCGAGGGTGCAGGGAGTAAGGCATTACTGTCTTACTCCTGAGGCGGCTGTTATCAGGTGCGTTTTGAGCAGCTCCAGGCCCTAGTTTAAAAAGTATTTCGACCGTATTGATTGATGCGCCGGCGGTCATGGTCAACCACTGGGTGATCGGAGGGGCCGCCCCTTCCTACCCGTCCCTCGTCGGGTGAAGGCAGCATCGCTGTTTCCATAGATATGGACATGCTGGTCGCCTGGGGAAACGCTTTACTGCCTTCACACTCCTATCGCAGAGGACAGTACGACTTTACCTCCGGACCGTCTCGTAATACGATTACTCGTAGTACGGGGACTAGGTATTCTTCGTCGGGCTGCTCCCCGTTGATCTTCCTGGGATGGCTGAACCTTTAGGAACGGAGTTCCAGCCACTATAGTCCACAGGATCATTGCAGCATAGAGGCCTCACAACCACGACGAGGTGACAGCTTTAGGTCGCACCCGCACCCAGTCAGGAGGATAATTGCGGTCCAGTTAGAGAGCGAATTTACTGAACGGAAGGTCTGTGGTTCAAACGTGACCTCTGCATCTCCCCTGTCTAAGCTTCGATAGCCTGACAGTATTCCAGCCTCATGCTTCCTTCGGGTTGCTTGGCAGCTGAACGATTTGTTTTAGGGTCATCTACCAGAGCAATCGGCTCCAAAGCCTAATTGAAAAACAGCGGTGTTTGGCGGGAAACGCAAGCGCATTTCAATTCTTCTAGAACAAGTTGCCGATTATATTCCTACTCCAAGCCTATAGGGCCAGGAGACTGTGGTGTTCAGATCTCTGTGACTATCGCACGGACACTACCCACTATAGCCCAGTTAGTCACGGAGGCACACAAACCGTCACACCACAGTAGAATCCAATCTGTTCGTGGCGGCCTTTCATAGCTGTAGCTGCCAGATTTTTGAGGGTTTTCCTGAAATACGGGACTTCATGCACCATTTCTCTACCCCTCCTTTCTTCGTTCTTTCTTTAGTGCATTCTTTCATCATGGTTGTATAGAGGTTCAGCACTACTTCGGTTACAGATGTGCCCTCGTCAGACGTGGCGCTGATGCTTATGTTATTCATACTGCAGGACATACAGCTTCTGAACAATATCCCTTGCAATTCAAGAAGTAATGTGGGACGCTTTACGTAGCTTGAGAGTTGCGTTAGTTTTGTCGATAGTTGGGGGCACGAGTCTCGGGGTCGGAATAACATTCGCCGATCCGCTGCACTTATGGCACGAGGCGATACCAGGAAATGCTTGAAGAGTTTCGGGTAGAAATCTTAGCAGTTGCTAGGCCACCAGACAGCCTTCACCCAGAAGCCAAGGGGGTGGATTTTTCATTAAAACTAACTGACAGTGCCATAATACAAAAAATCGTTCAGCCGTATCACCCTTTCGGCGCCCAGCTGCCATGCCACACGAAGGAGGCCCGAGGGCCGGGATACTGCCAGGTTGCCCAAGTCTAGACAGAGGAAATCGAGAGACAGAGGCCGGGTTCGAACCACGGACCTTCCGGTCAGTAAATTCACACTCTAACCACTTGGTCCATCTCGCTCCCTGCCATAATTTAAGCAACAAGCAGCGTGCGGCACCGCTGATAACGCAGTGACGAACAGCCATAATTTAAGCAACAAGCGGCGTGCGGCACCGCTGATAACGCAGTGACGAACACTAACTACAAGTGGTAATTTAATGACATCTTGGACTCTAAAGACCCATGTGTTGTTCGTTTGTTGATTTGTTTTTGCGCGTTGTTTTTATCCGGTGTTCTTAACGAGGTGGTCAGGTATGGGATGTTTGGTTGCAATACTGGAAAAAACGATTCTGACACGCTGATTCTGTCTGGCATTTTATTTACTTCAGCATTTTGGTTCACAGCAGTAACAATTGGAAAAGTATGTGTTGTGTCACAATAATGGGACAGTTGTGTGTTGGGTCGAGCGTTTTGTCAGTTTGTGTTACGGTTGCGCTCCCTTGTGTTTGCCTGTTGTTCTTCCCTGGAAGCCAGGTGACAAAACCCAAAGAGCCAACCTGTTATTCGCGTTCTCCGATTGGGGTGACTAGGAGCTACTAGTCGACTCACGCGGAGTTCGCATTGCCAAATTACTTAAATTCCCGAGGCGGTAGTCTTTCGTGTCGACATCTCAGATAAACTCTCGTTGTCACTGGTTTAGGGACAGTGGAAGAGTCATTAGAACGGAGATAACCACCTGTGTCGAGTCATCGTCGCAGTTTTTTGTATCCTAGTAACTGGTTAAACAGAAAAGCCAAGGATCAGGATACACCTCATGCACGGCTACAGCTATGTTGCGCAAGTTAGCTGGCGTCAAAATCATACATGTGATGTCTCTTTGCGTTGCGGATTATCAAAACTGGTTGGTCCTTACAGACCGTAGGAACTTTACAGTTGTGTGGTTGCCACAGAGACAAAGTTGGGTTCTCTTGAGAAATTACCGTAAACCAATTGTTCGTTTTGATTCTGCACGACAAGTACAGTGACTCTAGCTAATCAAAGTGTGCGGCACTCGTGATGCCTATTTATAACTGTACGGCAGTGAAATATCACTGTCAGCAGTGATGTTGCTGTATTTGATGATATATTTATAACTGTCTTGTCCTCAAGTATTTTGTGGCATGGGAAAACTCTTCACAGTTAGCCCTGATTGTGCTTCTTCTGGTGTTCGACCCACGGCACTGTGATTTAGACCCAAGGTTGCCGCGATAAGTTTGTTTTAACTTTTTCTTCATTTTGCCCCATTCTACCTACTTGGTTTTCTTGTTTTAGCAACCACTGCCAAATTGACGCGGTAACATGTCGTTTCGTCTCGGACCATCGGTCACGCGATTTCGACGGATATGGACAAACTCACTGCCCTCGTACTTTTCAAGTTTTTGCTTCATAGCCTGTCGACCTCAGCATACCACTTTATCGACCCCCGAACACATAACCATCCATTCGGTCACACGCATTTTTTGTACCGTTCCTTCCGACAAACGGCAATGCTGGAATTGTAACCGTCCAGTACGGGACAATGAATTTTTTTGCGAGTGTGGCAAAATTCAGCCTGTGGAACGGGGTTGGACTTACTTTGAAGTCCTTGGTTATGGTGAACCCACAGTTCATATTGATCCGGCAGACCTGGCGCAGCGTATGCGTGAGACGCAGAAACGTTTGCATCCAGATAAATTTACGCGTACCACGCCGTACGAACAACAACTGGCTGCCGATGCCGCGACTTTCGTGAATCGTGCGTATGCTATGTTAGAACGCCCTGAAAGTCGTTTCGCCTACTTTCTGTCCCTGCATTATCCCTCAGACGACGCATCATCGAACACGGACATTCTGGATCCAGGCTTCCTAACTGAAATGCTCGAGCTCAATGAAGAGATTGAAGAATTTTCAGAATTGCTTACTGCAGTTAAAGAGAAGAGGTATGAGGCTTCCAAGTTATCAGTGTCATTGAAGGAGTTGCTTCATAGAATTTCACGGGACCTGATGGCAGAGCGTGCGAAACTCGTGGCAGCTCTTGATGAGGCTAAGTGGAAGGATGCTCACGCTTTACTCAATAAGTGTAGGTACCTTTCACGGAGTTTTGATCGTCTCAAAGAATATGAGCTGGATTGGCGTAGACTTGGTATAACAGTTGATATTCCTCCGCACTAGTTTTCCCCCTACTTCTGTGATACACTAGTCCCCAAGGTTCACTTTGTACATAGATCCTATTCATAATTGTATTTGTTTACTACAAACACGTCTTTCGTTTTTACGAAATTCAGATATTTTTAGAACACTATTTATATTTGACAGATTGCCCAAACCTAACCGATGCGTTCGAAGCCCACGATATCCGTTGCATTTGTTTTCTTTTTTCCTGAGTCTCCTACTTGGTGATCTCGCTTTTTTCAATGTACACTTTTATATTGTTCGTTCCTTTAAATGAAATTGGTGGACTTCGCCTTCTATGTTCTTCGCATTCGGTGCTCGTTGCATTATATTCCTTGCACGAGATGGCCTAAGTGGTTAGAGCGCGAGTTTACTGACCGGAAGGTCCGTGGTTCGAACCTGACATCTGCCTCTCGGCTTCCCCTGTATAGGCTTGGGCAACCTGGCAGTATCCCAGCTTTCGTTTCTCCTTCGTGTGGCATGGCAGTTAGGCACCGAAAGGATGCTGCAGCTGAATGGTACGTAAGTAGTCTCCAGTCTGGCAGTCCACAACGGGTTTTTCGCCAGTCACGTTTTGTATAGTATTCTGAAGATATCCTACTAACTGACGGTCAAATAGCTGTTATGCCTTGCTGACGGTGAAGAAGAAGGAAGATTATTACAACAGTATTTATAGGGTCATCACAGTGTGTTCCACAAGGTCACACCAGAGTCTTCGTGAGGGGGCGAGAAAAGCCGAACTATAAATGTTCGATTGAGATTAGTTTGCATTCTGATCAATCCAAGCCTATCTTCGTTTGGTCCGTACCCCGCACGTGACACCTACGTCTAATCCAAGCTATTTTCGGTTATTAGGAGTGGCTAGTCTCCGGACAATAACGGCGCTCCGTTTGCCAGTTTTCTTATGGGTAGATTACTCATCATCCTGTCATGATTCAGAATGGTTCTGACCGATATTTACGTTAGTTGGTTCTTGAAATCAAGTTTGAGTGACTGACGAGGTGATGTGAGTCCAGTGTAGTAGTCCTATTTTCAGATTTGAATAACTGGTATGTGTGAATGGCGTTTTTTCTGTACTAACGCAGATTGGTGCACCCCCTGACGAAACACCAGTCTTCGCTTTGGATTCTGGTCTCCATCCAGCAGCTCTGGCTAAGTCCTTCAGAATTTCCTTTCACTCAGTTCCATTTGTCCTTTTCGATAAACAACCCGGAATGGTTGTGTGGCAGTGAGACACTGGTGCTTTCTGATAGATACAAGATTTTCCATTGGGGTGAAAACACTTTGCACACACTTTGGCGAAGAGTTTGTTCAATTAAATTCGGGCGCGATTGAGGACTAAACTAACAGTATCGTACGGTGCTGATGCTGATCATAACCGACGCCCCAAACAACGGTCCCGATTAACAGTATTTATTGAAATAGACTGTGCATATTTTGCTAGTAGGTGGAATGGGTTGCTGAGCCCTCAGGCTGAGCAACATCACGTCGATGGTCTTTGGTTTGTTCGCTGAACAATGCAATTTAGTTTTGAATGTTTCATCACCATTAGTTTGTCGTGTAGCGGTGCGTCAACGGTCTGCAGCAAACCACTTAAGTCTTATATGATGTCCTAACTACGGAATGTCACAGTCCGAATCTTGGTCTGAGTTCCGCTACTTACATAACCGCTACTGTCCATGACTGGATAGACCGGCCTGTTCTCACTGCTCTCCCTTCTTGCGAGATGCGTGACCGCTTGGTGAAAAAAAGCATGCGACGGCCTAACTGTTTGCTGTGATACATTCGATGGCCGAAGTGGTTAGAGCGCGAATTTACTGATCAGAAGTTCCATGGTTCGAACCCGACCTCTGTCTCTCGACTTCCCCTGTCTAGGCTTGGGCAACCTGGCAGTATCCCAACCCTCGTGCAACCTTCGGGTGGCATGGCAGCTAGGCACCTTAAGGGTGCTACAGCTGAACCATACATTCGGTTTCCTACTGAATGATCACTTGGCTGAAATTACGACGTTCGGATTGGTGTGATATCCTCGCGAGTTTCTCCAATTTTTTGTGCATTTTTTCCCATCCGAAATTCACGTTCAGCAATAAACACACGGAGAAAATAGTTGTATTTGGAATATTTCTTATGCTCAAGGATAAGTAGTCATTCGTAGGAACTGGAAAGCAAAGATGAGAATGATTTTTAAATAGAAACTCAAGTCTTATTTGGCTTTTTATTATCGAACGAATTATGTCACGTGACATAAGGTGTGTTGCATAACACATGATGGGTCACTTTGCGCTATAAACATTTACTGTACCCTTTATTCTCAAACCATTTTTGGAAATAACTTTTTCAGCTTCTGAGCGTGCCTTGCTAGCACCAGCGTAAACCTGAAATATAGCTAACTTTTATGATAAATTAAACTATGAGGAGAACTATGTTTAACGCAGACATCCCAAATATGGACCCTAGGTGTTTGGCATTACTCGATTGCAGCCTTCAAGACGTCCACGAAAGCTAATCCTATGCACTTTTATCTATCCTGTGTTAGCCATTTTTATGCTTTTGCTCCACTTCCCCACTGCACCTTCATCTTTCCTGACCTGGTGTACGGTTTTGTACATTCATTCGCCCATCTACCTTTGGTAATTCTCAGATCTCTACCGCAGTTGTGAGGATGGTTTTCCAGGGGGGCGGATTTTGAAAGTACGTCAGCCAAAACATCCCGGTTTCTGTGGACGTAATACACTACTCACAAGGTTGCTGAAAATTCTTCGACCACCCACGACCAGTTTTGCCCTCCTTGGAGCTCCTCCTTGGGGGAGGTAGGCGCAGTTGCTTGGAGACACCTTAAAAAAAGAGATCCAGCTTGGTTCCAGGTAAATCTCTGGAAAAACCTACTTTGCTTGGCCTATGAGTGTATTTCGCTAATCCCGGTTTCTAGTTCAGCTTCGATTCGGTATATGAAGAAAACGAGAAGATGACTGTTACTTCTGAACCCGAGAAAGCCTTCTTGTGAAGGAACTTCGTTTTTTGCGTGCCTCCAGGTCACGTTTCTTACCCTCTGCATCATCGTTTGTGCCCCACAACTTACAAAATGCACTGATCACTTACATCTTCTTGAGTGAAGACAGCTTCCCCACTGTGGTTTTTCGGATGCGCGTCAAATGTTTCGAAGGCAGCCTTTAATCGTGCACAGCAGTGAATGAAGTCCTCAAAGGTTACGAGGCCTGTTTGTGGATGCACATATCGGAGTGAAATTGAATTCAGCACCAGATTGCTAAGTTGAAAACCTGAAACACAAGGACAAGAGAAGAATACGAACGAATTTCACTGAAGGGTACAATACTATTGTTAGCCAATATACTCCGCTACAATAAAATAATCAAGGCTTTCCATGTTACTAGTTTATTTGAGCGGTGTGTTTTTCAGTTGTTCTCAGTATGATACTGGAACCTGGGCTACTGTAGCCGGCACACATTCGAGGTGCAATAATGAGAGACCATTTTCAAGGTGGTAGACGCTGTAGATTTACGCGAACGTTGGTCAAATTTTAGCACTATATGTCCCTTGCAGATTCAGGTGAGCCTAAAGGTAACAATTCTGTGATCTGCCGGAGGCTCTGTTGACAGCTTGATACAGTTTCGTTTTCCCAGTCGTTTTTAAGCATGACGTTTACCGTGAGAAACGTATGTGTCCCATCAGTAACAGTAGGATGACGCAAAACCACAAAAGGCAAACGAAAAGGTCGAAAAGTGCTTTCAAAGGCCCGAATGGGGATACTGGTCAAATTAGCCATGCTAGTATAGTGAACCGAAGACTGAACAAACCGCCGTTTATGAAACTCCGCCGATTAGGGTTAGTGACAGGACCAGGCATCCTTAAGGTTAGTCAAGCGCTTTCACTCCTTACATCCTCACTCTTCGCTTCGTTTTTGTTACTCATTGGTCTTCCTTCAAATTAAGCCTCCCTGTTCATGGGTGAAAAACCTACCTCCCATCTTAATTTGGACAGTTTGGCCGCAGCCCAGCCTCAATGTCTCTTCTGGGTTGTGTCCGATCTCGCTGCAGAAATAGAGGTTTAGTGGCTACGCTACGTATATCCTGTTGGCTGTTGATCAGGTGGCCGTGGTTCTGTTCGGCGTTCTTAGCAATTGGCTTGCTAATGTTTCTTCACTACGGGAGGTGACATCGTCAATGTGCGATTAGTTTGGTAATTCCTGCGCATCCACTTGCGTTTATGTAGTTTCTGAAGAACATTTGACGGTTGCGATAGGATTGGCCAGTGCGTAATTAGATTGGTCCTTTTGGGATTAGGGTCGCTTCGTGTTGGTGCGTTGGTTGGTTTGTTGCGTGCCTCCTTTTTTACTGATTGGTCTATTTCGTCTTTTTGGCGTGCTTCTGCGGCGTGCATGAACACTCATCAGTTTTTGCGGAATTGATTGAATGATTGACTGGCCTGGATGCTTACCGGCTTTCCGGTTGAGATTTTGGTGCAGCAGTAGGTTCCGGGCGTTCTGAGGTTACTTTCAGGAATCTGACCTTCCTGATACTGACACTCAGTGTTGTTATGGATCGGTCATGGTTATATCCTTTCTTCCAAGTGATCTCTTTTTTTTGAGAGAGAGTTGGTGTATACTGTGTTGATCTATCCATCTAAGAGACAGATTTATCTCTTAGGACGAAACCGTTACAAAAACGTTAGCCGAAATAATCCCGTAAGTTTAATTTTGAAATAAACTTACCGGCAAGTTGTAATGTTTCACGTAACTGGCAGGCAGTCAGCCCGCCACTCAGGCTTTCTTCGATCATCAGATAGGCGTGCTAAATTAGAAGGCAAGTTGGAAACAGACAGAAGAGGATCCAGGTGATTATCCTTGTCACCTTATTGGACTTTGGCAAGTATACCCTAGTTCACATATTTCTTTGCTTTGATCCTAATGTTAAATGGCTACCGGGCTTGAATGATGACTTGGGTGGAGAAGATTAAATTACACTTTTTTGAGCGACTTGGGTTGAGGCTTGTAACTAGAAAAACTAATTCGTAGCCTAACATATTCAAATTACAAAGCCAGAAGCATGCTTGCAATGGATGGTGGTCATATCAGGTCAGATGTGCGAATTGCAGTTTACCCGACTAGGTTTGCCTGTTTGTAGATCTTTGTAAAGGACCTGCCACTCAACACAGGGGTTTATTCTAAAAGCTGATTACTTGTATCTGTCTATCTCGGCGCTGGCCGCCAGACAGGTGCTTTAACTGTTAATATGAATAAGGAGGTGGGCTGAACATTATTACAAGATTTCAATTGAGTGCCCATGGGTTCAATGACCTTGCTCACTCCGTTAGCCTAACTGACCCTTCGAGTTGTAACCCGAGCGTAATCTTGGAGACAGTTGTTGTAGGATAATACAAGGCACGTGTAACCTTGTGAAACATCACCCACACGAGTCCTCGCATAGTGTATTGGATCTGTGGAATTCAGTCCTCGAATGTATGCAAAAAGAGCCAGAATGGTATTACCCTTTACAATACTAACAGTCATGCTGTGGTGTAGATAGATTCTTTTGGCGGTAAGCGTTTACTTTTTTCGGCCATTCTATATACTCAGTTTTAATAGGCTACGTGGGTATGATCGGCGGGACTTCTGGCCCAGGATAGACTCTGGTGTTAAATTCATGATTACCTATCGTGTGACAGTGAATGGAAAGCTAACCAGATACTGTGGACTCAGTCTGAGTTCCTTTGGTAGAACTCTACACGTTCTGTCTGACAGTCAGCACGCCATATCATCCGATACAAATGTTGCTCTCGATCGACCATAAGTCCTCTCTCACTTGGTTGACGCTAGGGCTGATAAGTAAACGGACTGCTCTCATGAAATCGTTTTATATTCATATCCCACCCTGATGAACAATATCGCTGATCATGTATACGGCTCTGTGTGTCATACGTCTTCACAGAATGTACGTTTTTGCCTTCTCAGTCGATTAATATAAGGTGGTAAGGAAGTGACGCCCTGCGTACAAAGGTGAGGGAATGACAAAATAAAAGTCTTGTGAACCATTAATGTAGAACAGTGTATTATACCTGAGTGATGAGCAAGTCCCACAGTTCAACATTTCCCCCGTGACCGATACCAGTCTGCTATTGCAAGTTAGCTTTGTCCCGATTTTGACCCATCAGTTCTTCGCAACCGACCTTCGTACAACTTGGGGCGTCGCACGCGGATTGCCGTGTTTGATTACATCGTTCAGAAAAATAACAGTACAAACTATACAACTACCATGAGAAGATCAGTTTGAATAGGCTAACGATCCACCACTGATTTTTTGGCTGGTTACGATCCTCAAACTTACCCGTACAAATACATTCGTTTGCATATCAATTTGGTTTTGATGGCAGACTCACATGGGATCCAGCTGAATCTCTCGTTTATGATGTTCTTTAGCAGTAGTGAGTAGTTTATACGGTGTACCGACTGAAACATGAGACGGCCTTATGCAGCCCAATCAATTACTTGAGAACATCAATTGATATGCAACTAATTGTATTCGTCCAAATCTATACAATTTCGGTTCAATTAGAACATAAGTTTGATGGAACCTCGGGGGCTGCGCGTAGCTGATGAGCCTCAAAAAGGGCGAAACCGGTCGTGGGCTGTCGAGGATTTTTCAGCAACATTAGGAGTAGCGTATTCCGTCTATACAAATAATGTCCTTAGTTAAAATGTATTTTCAAAGTGTGTTAACCAGGTAGGTCACTTGCATTGCGAACTGTAAAGGTAGAACCAAATTAGATCTTTTTTGCACTTTGAATCACTACTTTCTTTTCAGGGTTTCGTACCTAATGGGCATTGAAAATTGTGCCTCAAAGGCCAGCTGGACTGATAGTTGAAACGTCGGCGACATTGTGTACTATTTTGTAATATCCAGAGCTTATCCGGCCAAAAATCAGTTGTGCTCTGTCTAAGCGGATGTTTGCAGGCCTGTAGCGCTGAACTGGTCGCATATAATTGAGAAGTCCTTGAGGTTATTGCCGTCTCCCTGGATGTAGGCCGGAGACGAGACATGTCGGAGGTTAGAGACATTGTGACGCATAGTTCAGCTGCGCACCTACTTCCTGGCGTCTTCAATGCATGTCTCCCCTCCTGATCCCTCTAGTGAAAAGTTCACTGACACCCATTAATTGGCGCACTAATTGTATCAGCTATCACCTCCAGTACGTAGCTACCTAACCCCACCTTTCCAGATCATCAATGCATGAAACTGTGGCGACCATAACCACTATACAACAATTATGTGGTTTTTAAAGCTAGCAGCAATGAAATTAACGGTTAGTTCACTCGAAGGAATGCTCGTTCCATCTAGTTATCCAGCTGCTTTTAAACCAGTGAGCTATTTACCAGCTCCTAAAAGAATTTATGTAAAATCTAAATGTATGAAGACTTACCTTCCATTGTTCGATGCGATTCCAAAATTCCAGTAGTTCTGAAAGTTCCATTCTACCTGAATGGTTGCTCTAGGCCCACACTTAGGTTAGGGATATAGTCTAACACATTAAAGCCGCCTCAAACGCTAAGGTATACAGCGATCATAACACACAAGTAATTCTCGGTATATTACATCGCAGAATAGCTCCTGGAAGTAGATAACGCGCTAATTTGAGTCGTGCGACACTTAAGCACGTTTGCTCACCAGGTTGGCCCAGACGAATCAACTCACAGATGGGTATTTTTCTTTACAAAACTAGTGATGTAAGATATCAGAAGTTCAGAAAAGTGTGAGCCACAGTTGTCCTGGATCTAACCATCTGTTGACTGATTCATGAATCCATTGCTGCAAATTCAGTCACTCATCATAGCAGATGGCTTGATGAATACCATGCCAGAGATTGAAAATCCCATCAGAAATCACTGGGAAATGAGTCCTCAGAAACACAATGACAAGAAGCCACTGGTCATTGTGGAGACTCGAAAAATGTGTAATAAGAATTGTGTCCACATCGCAAGCCCTGACAACACAACCTGACCATGTTCGAATCGACTGCATGTATCAATATCTGGCTTGATCGAAAGTCACTCGTTCGGCAGTTGAATTAATTGCGGAAACATAGTGATAGTTGTTTGGTCATGTGAACAGCAGCCTAAAACTGTAATCTGTAGGTCTCACTGCACAGTTTTTTCTATGTAGCTAATTCTCAAAGATTTTCCATCGACCAAACAGAGAATCACATTGACTAATTTGTTTACATATTGAGCACAGGTTATTCGTAAAGTTCCTTGCGTTACTACTTAGACTTTGGTTGTAGAGTGCTGTAGGTAAAGATGGTAGACACCAATGATCAATGATCGAAACTGAGGCCTTTAGAAAGTCAGCTAAACGCTGGCACAAACCATCCAATTTCCAGTGCATGGTTCCTGTGTAGCGAAGAACGATTATAAAGCCGATACAGCCCAAAACCACTACTACCGGTTTATATATAAGCTATTTTTCCACTCAGCTAACCTGTCTATTGCACAATTTGTGGATATACATGAAGTGTTTAAACTGGCGTAACAGCGGATACTACTGATGAGGCATGCGAGTAGTATGTTGTTTTTTAGCAAATCTGCTTCGCGTCTATTGAAAGGTGAGATTTATTACGGAATTTGTGGAATTGCCTTTGTAACTTTTGAATGATAGTCAATGAGTATCCAGGAAAGTTCAGGAAGACGCATTCGGCAAGAAGCCGGATAGTCAGTTTTTGTAAAGAAGATGCATATGAGAATTTTGCTTCCCTGTCCAATAGTCTGTAACTGTTCAGTTGGCATTTTCTGATAGATAGCTCCACAGCGAGGGTCTTCCTTTCACTGGTAGTTAATGGACTCCTTTTTGTAAAGATCAAAGTGCAGAAACTCCAGAAAGAGACTCAGGTTGGGTTTTAGTGAAACGGAAATTGAAGCAATCCGTAATCACTTATACATCTTCCGTTCAAGTAGAGTATAAGTCATTTTAATCTTGAACTATTATACGGTCCTGATGAGCATCAGACGGGTTTTTTTGAGCGTTGACCAATCCGTCCAGTAAGACACACGAACCAAGACGCTTGAAAGCAACGAGTTTATAGCTTGTTAACGGTTTCGCCTCAGAAAGATGCTGTTTTTTCAACTTTTGATTTCATCTCAGGCCACTTTCAGTTTTCGTATTTTACGTACTACCACCAATAACTTAAGATTAATGGGTTTACGGCATGTCATACTGGAATATACTGTGAATAGCGAGGTAATGGAATAAGTGTAAACTCAAACTTTTGCAATGGTTCACCTCTTAAGCAGTATGTATTCAAACCGATATCAAGGATACATCCATGGTAGCTACGAGACTTCGACAAACTTCAAGCGAGAACGGCTGAAAAGTGGGAAGATCTGTGGGTAAAACCAATATGTGTACATCTTACCTCGCAAAGGGCTTTCGTTAATAATCTTTTGAAGTTGCCCTGCATGGACTGAATGACTTTCTTGGTCACAGACTTCCTCAAACCTTTTCGTCAACCAACAGTCTTCTTTCTGTAGATATACAGTACAAGTAGAGGTGTATTTGAAGAACGATCCACAGCGGGTAATTTGGACAGAGGTTTTGTACACATTGTAAACCAGTTGTTTTTTGCCTTTAAAGTCTTAAACCATTTTATGTAGTTCGCACTGCCAAATTGGAAGTTTGTTAGATGGTCGAAATTAGAAAGTCATCTATTCCGAATTGTGAGGGTAGGCCCGAGGTAGAAGTACTGTTCTATGTCATCGAAATGCCTGTATGTTAATTGGCCTCCATGAAGACAAAGCTGGTGATGTTGCTGTCTGCCGACGGAGCGTATGCCGTGCTCGCCAGTTATCTGGAACCATCAGTGTGCAGCTTGATGAGATTGGAAGCTCACTCACTGATGGCAAGCTTTTCATGGATAAACAGCTGTTTGTCACACACTTGTGACATACTCTTGGCGTCGAGCTGCCATGCCACTCGAAGAAAGGATGAGATATTGCTCGGTTATTCAAACCTGGACAGGAGCAGTCGAGTTGCCGTGCCCGGGTCAGCGCTACGGGCCTCTCGATCCGTAAATTCACCCCTTAATGACTGAGGTATCTCGAGCTCCTGTGAAAGACAACATGTTAACTATAACTGGGACTCACAAGGCGCAGCTTAGTCTAAAGGCAAAATGGTTCCAGGGTATTTTCCGTTGATATAAGCACGCAATGAAACATTTGATTCATTTACTATACAAACAGAACTTTCGGTTTGATGATCTGAGACGGGAGTCTTTGTTCACCATACCCTAGCTCAGAGCCACAGTCCTATAGACTCGTTCGCAAAACTCAGATTTACACACTGTGCATCCATGGTTCTGCACTTCCACGAAAACAAACTGCTGAACTTACATTGATCGCGGATTGTAGCTGGACCGATTGTCTGATTTCCTGAATCGAATAGAAAACAGTGTGAAATTACAATGAGACTTATTTGATTATTAAAGGGTGGAACATTTATTTTCAAAGCCATTATAAAGGTCTCACGGTTGTCTGAAGCGGATATGGAGCTGTGCCAATGGTGAAAAAGTATATGTAAAGTATATTGCTAACTTTTCAAGCATTTTGTGCCTGAATTCTGCGCTTTTTAAGCCAAAGGGCCTGAATAATTCCACAAAAAACCGCATTTAGGTGACAGTGAGTGCTCCGATCCAGGTTGATCATCCGGCCACTTTGGCACACTAAATTCTTGCAACGATTTGTCACAACCATTTTAAGAAGGCCAGTTTTGTTTTGCCCTAGAAGATGCATCAAACTAGACGTGATGCACTACTTATTAGGTTGCTGAAAATCCGCCGACAGCCCACGACCGGTTTCGCCCTTCTTGGGGCTCATCAGGTTGGCGCAGCACCCGGGTTTCAGTCAATCCTATGTTCTACTTGAACCCAAATTGCACTGTTTTCGGGAGACACACTTATTTGCAAATCAATTTGGTTTCCACCAGAGACTCGACTGAATCTCTCGTTTATGATGTTCTACAACTGATTGTGCCGTAAGAAGGCCTCCTCATGTTTCAGTTCATACGTTGTTCGAGATATTGCAGTATATCTTCCTAAAAAGGACTACTCACGAGGTTGCTGAATACTCTTTGACAGCCAAAGACCGGTTTCGCCCTTCTTCAGGTTCATCAGGTAGACGCATTCCCCGAGTTTCCGTCAACCTGGTGTTCTACTTGAACCTAAATTGCACGAAATTAGTGAAATACACTCATTTGCAAACAAAATTGGTCTTGCGAGAAACTCACCTGGAACCCAGCTGCATCTGTCGTTTATGATGTTTTCAAGCAACCTAATAAGTTTCACCAGGCTACCTCATGCTTCGTTTGGCACAATATTCGGGATATCGTGATAAAAAACTACTCACTACTGCTAAAGGACGTCATAAACGAGAGATTCAACTGGGCTGCAGGTGAGTCAGCCGTCAAAACCAAATTGGTATGCAAATGAGTGTATTTCACTAAGCTTCAAACTATCTTACAACGTATCGGTAAGAGTGAGTGCAGGAGACCAGGAAAGGCGTCTTGTTTCTTGCACAGTGCTGAGATACGAACCAGGCGTTTCCAAGTGGCAAAAACTTGTCTGAAGATACTCGAGTGGGCTACTCTCCATCCATTTCCAAAATTTCCAACTCCCTTGCTACTTTGCATCAGTCCCAACTTGGATGTATTGCTTTTATATAAACAAAAGTTACCGGATGTCACCGCACAATTAGGGCGCACGATAATCAGACCGTACTAAGGAGGCTGTTCATGCGAGGCACGAGCTCACCTTGTTGGTGGTCTCTATTCCCTAGTGACTTTTAAAGACTTGGTATCTCCGCTGGTTCTCTGCCCTTTACAGATGAAGCACACGCCTCTATAGTTCAGGGTTTTTTAAAGTAAATTTACGTACAATATCCATAAGTGATACAGTTCAATAGAATGGGACAAACGAGTACTGGAAAGTGTGAAGACTTATTCTAATACGAGTGGCTAAGAAAGCTATTGATCACTATTACTATTACTATAGATTGTAACCACTAATATGTGATAGGATTTAAGTTAAGTTGGATTACTTCATTCCGAATAGAGCTTGTGGCCATTCAAACAGTTTTCGAATCCTTAAAAAGCATAAATGATCCTTTGAGTCGGAATGGAAAGAAAAATTTTCTGATTTTTCAACTCCAACGGCACAAGAATGAATAACTTGACTTACAAACTGAAACCGGCTATCAGAAAGTATCCGTAAACTTTCGATTCACAAGTCATCTCACTCAGAAATTTAGTTTTTTCTTCAGTTTGTAATAATTCGAAACAGAGAAGATATACATCCTTACCGGTGGTTGTGCAACTTCGGCGTTTTGATTATCCAGCATTCTGAGGAAAGTGAGGAAAGTGGACGTATCGATCATGTTGTTGGAATTTATCTCCAAGTTGTAAAAAACCAGCACACCAAAGTTGTGCCATTTCTAACACAAACCAACTAGATCATAATGACGCGCTGAGTTGGAAACACGTGAACCTTGGGTATGTTTAGAAGTGCGACTATCCACCATCTGTTGGTTGTATTATCTCATAAATCGCCATCACTCAAATTCTTATCCCATGCATAATGCCTGGAGGCTTATTGAACGAAACTTGGCGCATGCCGGGATATTTCCTGTCACCACTTACACACCAACCGTCATACAGTTGACTCTGAAAGTCGCCACTTCGGGAACCAACTAATATCATACTCTGCACGTCTTAGACCATTGTTAAAGTCATCGCACACCTGATTTGACCACACGGGCACAACTGGTTGAATGCTCAAAAGGTTGTTGCATGTCGTGGACTGTGTGCTCAGGATACTTCCTCCTAGTTCTTCAACTCCTGTCCACTGCTTCTAGTTTTCCAAGCTAAGTTTAGAATATATATCCCTGGTTGACTTCGAAATGTAATTAAAAGTAATTATGAAAAATTGGAAGTGTAAAGTATTAGTCAGCGGTTTGAGATGTATCATTACTGGTTGTAAAAATTGCGGAGATAATCGTAGAGCTCAGAACAGACACTCCAAGATCCTTGTAAATGGCTTTTCACTTGAGCTTACCATGATTACTCCGAAGTGGTCCTAGTCGCTAGGAAAAATATCCCTAATCCCTGGTACTTGGCTTTCTCAGAACCTCCCCTATAATCTTTGCAGCGGAGTACGAAGTAGTTACCGTTGTTAACCATCCGCATTTGTTCAAAATGAGAATCCTTTCATTGTTTTTCTTCCCTAACAGATCAAACTGTCTTGGTTATGAGTTGAGCTCTACTCTCCGCGGTTTCTCTTCCAATGTACGAACACACAAATTTTATCTCACAGCCGATCTGATTGTACCTTCTCCGCTTCGAATACTCAGACGGAAAACCGCCACGACAACGGACGGTCCGTTTTCCTTTCTACGCTGATCATGCACACAGTGCAACCCAGTGACCCCCCTGTAATTCAATTCAGTTCAATTTATCAGCTACAAACCGTGTATCAGGGGCACAGTGATTCCAGCTACTACAGTTTTGATCATCAGAAAATGAGAGCGTAGGAAACATACAGCCAAGCCATGGAGGCGACATATGTTCAGTTCGTTCGTAAGTTGAAGGCTATGACTTAGTGTGGAGATTTCGTTCTGTAAGTGAAGCCAATCTATGCTGAAAAGCCGAGAAGCACTGTGCAGCTGTTTCATTCCTATTGGGAATCATCAGCAGTGCGCATCTCACGAAACTCCGAGGAGTCTCGAACCCGCGACCTCCCGGCTAGTAGTTTGAACACTTAACCGTTCGGCCACGAGTGGCCGGTACACTCTCTAATTGCTTATATTGATGTTCATCAAGGCTTTTCAACAAAATTAAACTCAGCCTCTCTGCATCGCATCTTATTCTGACTGGTTAGGTATTAAAAGACTCATGAAGTAGCGTCGGCGTGTGTCATTCTTTTATTAAATTTATTTGAGATCATTTTGTGAACGACCAAAACTTTAGAAAGCCATTCATTCCGATTACTTATCGATTGAACAGGCAAAATGCAATCTGCTGCTCCTAGCCGCTGTTAGATGACGGTTGATGAGTACTGGGCAGCACAACCGTGGCAGCCAAAATATTTCACCATAACACTGAGCGGGAATTCCAAATCAGTGACTAAGGCAGACGTATGATCGAGAATGATCAAAGATAGTAAAAACCTATGTCAAAGTAGAGGGGTCTGTAAATGGAATTCGGTGGCCAAGTACAGGTTAGTACAAACTAAGCTGTAGTCCAGCAAGGGGACTGACAAAGAATGTGGCAGCTGAAACAGTCGAAAGAAACTGTACCAGCTATAAGTTTTGGGGTTCTTGCGGTGGAAATATCAAAGAAAGAAACCTCCTGAAGATGAAGATTTCTCGCCTCCATTCATGAATTCAGCGCCCTTGTTTCGGTCCCTTACGTTGTCCCAAAGTGAAAGGTCACAATTATACTCTGTGAAAGAGTGGCTGAAGGAGTGAATATTCTGAAATGAGTAGTACTTAGCTGGACAAAGTGCAGCAGTCGTTTACAAGCAAAGACAAAAAAGCAACCAAAACAGCTTGTTTACCTGTGTCTAATTCCGTGTTGCGTGATAATTCTGACTATGAAATCCGCCTCTTCGTTGGGCTTATGCGTACTTGGAATGATTATGTAGCGACCGGGAGGAACCTTGAAGCGTTCTGTTACTTCACGCACGTCTGCAAAGTGAGGAGTTTTCAGGGGCCGTGTACGTTGAACAAAGAATCGGGTCACCGGGACTGCTTGAGCGGGTGAAACCTGAAACAAGCCGGAATATCCGTACACCATCATAGGATTCTTTAAAGTCCTGTTCAGAAACAAAACGATCTTCCGATGGCACACTTACCGCGTACACTGCAAAACCAATGTAATGATAGTTTCCTCTCGCCTCTTGTCCTAACGGTTTCTGCATCAAGCCAATGACAACGTTGCACACATACTGACTATCGTCAAGATCCGGTGCAGTAACTTCGATGATGAACTGCGGGTTTGTCACAAACGTGTCTGGAAAAGAACGGGTCAAGTGATCAGCCTATAAATAGCGTCACTGAAATCTGTCATCAGTCAATCTCTTTTAACAAAGACCACGGTTGGGTGCACAATACTGGCTGTGAATGCGTTGGATAAGTTCTTGAGTTCATTTTCACGCCACGGTCTCGCTTTTCTAACACCATTATTTTACCACACCCATATCAGCGAACTGAGCAACATATGGAGTTATGATGTACAAGCTGTTGCTGGAGTTTCTGTACAACTGTCCTTGACAGATAGTGAAATGTGTTTCCAAACCAGTTCCACAAATCTCGGACAATTTTTCTGGTCAGTGTACTGATAACATGAACTTCAAGTTTCTACGATGTACACTTTACATACCCTCAATGAACTGACACGGGAGACTACTGCCCTAAATGTACGCTTGCCTCAAACACCAAATAATGAGAACTGAAGGAGCTATCCACGTTTATGTGATATTTTCTTCGGCTTTATATAATTAGATAGGTAGAACAGCATCAAATGGTACCTTCGCATACTGAAACGGTTTTCCATTGTTTTCTGATGATTTCAGTAAAACTTCTGCGTAAAGTTTGACGGAGCTACATGAAGGCATTGACAAACAACAGCCAGCCAAGGATATTTAAGTAAGCCATTCAAAAAAAGAGAAAATATTCAGTGAGACAGTGGTATTCTCAGTTGAATTCATCAATAATAAAGGTCCCACCGCCCGATGTGAGTGGCTCAGTAGCGAATCCGAATCTACATAAATTATTTACCGTCAACTCGGTGAACATTTTTTTGTAATATAATTTCTGTGTGAGCCCAGCAGCAAGTTCGATATTTTTGGCTATCCAGATGGGAGCGGTTTTACTATATTCTCTGTCTAATAAGTTAAATTCAGTGGGTTGACTAAACTAACGCAGTAAATTGAGAACTGCTTGTGGGAGGGAAATTGAAATTGGAAGGAACGTGTGCCATCATCGTTCGTGGTCGCGCGTAACCGGCGCACATGAATACCTAGATGTCCATAGAATTTCGCATTGACAGCCGCAAAGTTCGTAGCATAACTGTGGACCGAAATGTTGAAAGATCTATTCACTCAACCGGAGGCTTCATAAACAAACGAAAATTTATCCACACTGAATTACCACAAGAGATATTTAAAAGGAGCGTTCCAGGGGGCGTTAGAGATTTGAATCCTACGCTTTAGTTTCTGTTTTTAAATCAAAATCAATTCAGTAATCTAACCACGATTCGAGTAACTAGATGAATTATAGTGCAGAATCCCTACTCGGCACTTGGATGGGTGCGTTCCTTGTTTGAAGGTGACGCGGAATGCGAACGATCCACACCTATGTTGAGCAGAATTAGCATGCACTTGCTTTTTTCAGTGGTGATACAACTTGTATTGTTGGAAGATTCTTGAACAACTGGTCCAACAGTCTTCAAAGTAGTTCGGAACTCGAGAAATACACTCATTTGCAAATCAATTCGGTTTTCACGAGAGACTCAACTGAATCTCTCGTTTATGATATATAAAAACAGTCCAATTTGGGTTCCAGTAGATCATAAGGTTGACGGAAACTCGAGGACTGCGCCTACCTGATGAGCCCCAAACGGAGGGGCGAAACCGGTCATGGGCTGTCGAAGAGTTTTCAGCAATGCAATCTTGTGTTTCCGAACTCTTTTTCAAACGCTGCATACTCGCAGTTGTGGTTTGTTATTATACATAACCCCCATGGTTTGGCAAATGTGACTGTACTATTAGTAGGCACCTCACCTGTCTTGAGGTAATTATCCGCACTTTAGTCTGTCTATGTAGCCATCAATTATGCTTTTATTTTGAGCAGCGAAAGACGTAACATGTGACCTTCAACCTAACTCGCAATCGACATAGTCAGATCACGTGAATTCTACCGACCGGATCAGCCGTGGGTGTTCTGACTGTTGCCAAGCCGACAGGTAGCAATATGTTTTATGTGGTTAGATCCCTAAAAATCAGCTCCGCAAGGGTTTTTTGTCCCTACTGGACTTCTTCACTCGGAGTGACAAATTGGATCACCAAATGGCACTATTCAATACCTGTCGGAGGTTTCAGGACGAAACATTTTTGGATTACTTTTGCGCAGATGATTGAAACGACTCACAAATGTCATTGATTCGCAATAACTTGGGTTTTATCAAGACCAATGAGGTTTTGCTCCATTAATCTCGCACTGCTATCTTGATTTTTAAGAGTGCGTATTCTCTGTGATTGTTTTTGATACATATGATAGCAAACATCTTGGCAGTGCATTCACCACAAAATCCTACTGCCACTTTATTACAGCATGGATGTAAAAGCGACGGTTAGATCTGAAACATACCAAGATAGTTGCCACATCCACCGGCATTGACATTCCTCTTCCAGGATCCGGGATAAATGACCTCTTCCAAACGTCGCCGGCCTTTGAGCTTCGCATGTGGTTCTAGACTTGAAAAGCCTAGATGGCACATTTCCATGGATGTAAAATTCTTCGTGAAGTCCTCAAAGGACATCCTACACAATAAAAAACAGTGAGTTTTCATCTTTACTGGATGCATAGAATAGTAGTAATGTTAAAAAACTATGCTCATTTGGATACCAATTTGGTTTTAGAAGGGAGACTCACCTGGAACTTAGTTACATCTCTCGTTTGTGATATTTTCAAGCAATTGAATATGCTGCACCAGGGCACCTCATGTTTCATGTGGCAGGATATTTGAGATATCGCGATACATTGTATAGACCTAATGCACTACTCATAAGGTTGCTGAAAACCCGTCAGCAGCCCCCGATCTGTTTCGTGCATCTAGGGACTCATCGGGTAGTATATAAGGTAATAATATCTGTTCGTTTGTGAGACCCTTTCGGTGCATAGCTGCATTGCCACCTGAAGGAAGCACGAGGGTAAGATGGTGTCAGGTTTCCCAAGCCTGGACAGTAGCAGTCGGGATTCTGAATTTGTCTTCGGATCACAAACTTCTAGTCAGTGAGGTCGTGAGCCACATCGAGCTCAATAAAATTGTTAGCTTTTGATCCAAGTAATCTTGAGAAACAATGAAGATTATAAAATTCGGCCTTAAATGTTGTTGCGTGTGGTACCTATCATTGCCTTCAGCCTGTAGAGCAAGATTGTGGCTATTCAAAAATAGCAGAAACACCGTGTAGAATCTGAGTTTCAAGGTGCAAATGATACCCAACCAGCACAAAGGTGAAAATTTCTCCTCACCTATATAATGATATGTTCAAAAGATGAAATTCTTTGAGATAAACGGGACTTCTTCCAAGAGTTTGTCGCTTCAGCAGCCAGCCAGCCCCAGCTGAATGGCGCATCGTTCGACTTTCTTGTCGGGTGTTGCAGGGTTTCAGTCTGCTCCAAGAATCCTGAGAAAAACAACGATGATTCCTACCATTGAAGACGGAATGGATCTCATAGGGTAACCATTACAGTTACTTCTAATTCTCCTCTGTGTTTTTCTATTGGACAACAATGCTTGACACGAAGGTTGACCAATAATATCCAATAATTCTGCCAATTTGTTTGGAGTGGCGTCAAGCCACCAAACTTCAGTTGTTCACCTGAATTAGTCCACCGTTCACGGTATGTAGGGGCGAGGTGGCTCAGTGATTAGGGCGCGAATTTGATGACCGGAACGTTCGTGGTTCGAACCTCATCTCTGCCTCTCAACTTCCCTTGCCTAAGCTTCATCAACCTGACAGTATCCCAACCCTCGTGCTTCCTTCTGGTGGCATGGAAGTTAAGTACAGAAAGGGCGCAAAAGCTGAGTGATTTTTCTTCATGGTATGTAGAACAGACATATTCACATGGATATGATACTTTTGAGCTCCATCCGACTGTAGATTTGGATCAACACCCAGAAATACCCAACGGTTATAGTAGTATCAGACAAGCGTAGTATGTATGTTGGACTTCACTGCTAAATCAAAAGTTTTGAACAGTGCATGTATCAAACTGGCTGGACCGTCAGATGATTACACACATGGGGTTTTACTATCCAGCTGAGCATCTGACAGTTTTGTTGTCTGGATATATCCAAGTAAATTTTAACAGCATAAGGTCACCCTCACTACGAGGTCCCCGCATTATGATCACACTTGCTTATAGTCAGTTCCCAAATGCCAAAGCTCTGTCTTAAAGCATGTGGGGGGGGGGGGTACATTAAAGTACACCTGCAGATGGAGACCACGCAGTGTAAAAGCTATTCTGTCAAGGAAATAAGTGAGATTGACGGTGCGATTCCTGATGAGTTAGGGTGATCACAACTAAGCTTATCGCCTCTGTACGGTGTACACTCATAAAAATGGGAATGTCATTCAAGGCACAAGAACAGCGAAAGCGGTCGTGGGCTGTCAAAGAGTTTTCAGCAACCTTGAGGGTAGTTTCTTTTGCGAAAATCTATTGCGATATCTCGAATATCGTACCAACTGGAACCTGAGGCCGCCTATTTACAGCACATTCAGTTGAAGAACATCATAAACGACAGACTCACTTGAGTCTCCCATGTTTTCAGCAACTTGAGGGTAGTTTCTTTTGCGAAAATCTATTGCGATATCTCGAATATCGTACCAACTGGAACCTGAGGCCGCCTATTTACAGCACATTCAGTTGAAGAACATCATAAACGACAGACTCACTTGAGTCTCCCATGGAAACCAAATTGATTTGCAAATGAGTGCATTTGTCGTTTCTGTAAGCTCGTAAGAATGTAAACGTCATTCAAGGATCATATATATCAAGGGTCCACGTTCGCCTCTTTTATCCATTTGTCCAAACCAAAATAGACTGTTGATGAACACGCAGGTATATTTTTTAATGACGGAAACTACTCACAAGGTTGCTGAAAACTCTTCGGCAGCCCACGACCGGTTTCGCCCTTCCGCTTGAAGCCCATCTGGTAGGCGCAGTCCCCAAGTTTCCGTCAACCTTATGTTCTGCTTGTTGTTGTTGGCAGAAGTTTGGCCTCCGGACTTGTGGGTCCAGATGGCCAGTTATAGAGTCAGATGTGGTTACCCCGTCTTTCGAGTGCTTCAGAGGTTTCTTCAGTTTACTTTTAAATAGTTCTCTCTGGTTTCCTTTCACGTCATCTCAGAGGAATTCAGATTGCCATAAACTACATGCATCATTAATTTATTATAGTGTTCAGTTGTGAACATGATGAATATTCGATCTTTCATTTTTAATTTTGACTGAGTTCAAGCGCTTCCAAGTGTAGATGCCTCGTTGCAAAGGCTTCCCTTATGTCCATAGTCGCCACTCTCGTTTGAACTGTCGTCCTCCTGTTCTGGCGTAATAATTCCGGTGAGTCCACACCAAAGGGAAGCACTGAACTCGAGTTTCGCTCTCATTAGAGCTCATCAGCAGTGCATATCCAACGGCCGTGCCGGGATTCGAACCCCGGACATCTGACATGCGAGGCGAGCTTGTAACCATTACTCCACCAACATACTTTGGACGCATCTGAATTTTCACGTCTGAACAGGCGAACGTGTTCACACTTGAGCGATATGATTGGTGTGCCCGACCGATCGAACGACGGCTCAGTAAGTGTCCCGGTTGTGACGATCGATGGACCCGACAGTCAGGACTTCCCAGTCAGGTAGCGTGACACACGCTTGAAATCCACCGGGCAGAATTTTGTTTGCAATTTTGGGGTTTTGCGGGATAGGGATTTTGTTCATATGGTCTGCTTCCGTGAAGAAACTGGATGATATATTCCCAACTGCGTCAAATAAGGTTGAAGTGTTCAGTCCCTTGTACGTGTTGAATCAGGCTCACGTTTGAATCAGGAGTAGGCGATGCGTATAAAATTTTATGGAATTTATTTTAACATGGTTGCTGAACGCTTCAATACGAAGATCGGTCCACAGAAGCCCCACTTGGACTGTTCAGGACGCAAACTTTAACAACTTCGTACCTTTGAGACAAAAGCATACCGTGATAATTTCACTAGTTGCACTAAACCATTCTAATCCACCGAGCCTGGCAATTCAGCTGACAGAGGCTACCAACGTGCTCAGACGCAGAGGAAATTTCGAATCAGCCATTAAGGAAGAAATATCGTGCAACAGCCATATGTCTACTCATCGTGGTGGTTGTCAGTTCACCCTTTGAAAGCGACTTACTGCCAGATGTGATCTGCCGTCGGGTTTGGATATCATTGAAGCGTTCATCTGAAGAAGCAACTCTCTGCAATCACAATCACCAACAACAAAATTCTCCATTTGAAATTTACATCTAGAATGTGGTTGCGCACTATTGTTCTTGTTCTTGTACAGCAGAGTATAATGGGCGAAAGACTGGATAGCTTTGAAAGAGAGCGCACTCCCATTCTTAGATTATTATCGGAGTCATCGGTTAAATCACAACGGCTGTCATCTCACACTTTGGGGATATGGACTACTCGGGCAGTTCTACCAAAGCATTTTGCACAATCTGGTGGGTTCCGCAGCAGAAATGGATGGCGGAAACCTTTGCAATATGCGCACACACAAGCGATCCTGCGCTAGTGGAAGCGTTTTGAACAAGAGCTCAGTTTGTTTCGCTCCCGTGACGCTTGAAACAAATGTCTACCATTCAAGCAGACATTGCGTCGTCCACGCAGTTGACCTTTTAGTCTACTGGTCAGTTGGATGTTCTCATAACACGCATTCTGCATTTGTAACTTTGTAGCTCAATTTATACTATATTAACTATGTAAACGTTGGACTACTGTTGACTTGAGGACAAGATCCCAAAAACCGCCTGTCCAGCAATTATCTTTCCGTTGATTTTGATCCATCACTGTCGGTCCAATAAGCGGTCTGTTAGAACTGAAGGTTTTCCCTAGACATTCGTAGCTCAATCTCAAGAGGTTCAGCTGTCATCCGTTCCTCTCGTGAAATGAATCCCTGTCGATCATTGGTGGATATGCTGTCCAAGTAGGGTGGCATTGCCAGTAAACGGCATTGTATCTGGTCTTACCTACATGGCGAATTTTCTGAGGGGTGACTGAAAGTGATTGTACGTATCAGGTTGCGCATACCTCTACTCTATTTGTGTCAAACTTATTGGTTCACAGTTTGATTGTGGAGTCTCCGCGGTGCACCATGTATGGACCTCGTTATTGGAGATTGGAGTTATTGAATAAACTGTGACAACAATCGCATTTCTAGCGACTATACACTCATTTGCAAACTAAGTTGGTTTTTCGAGAGACTCACCTGGAACGCAGCTGAATCTCTGGTTTGTGATGTTCTCAGCCTCAAAAAGGGCGAAACCGGTCGTGGGCTGTCGATGGATTTTCAGCAACCTTATGAGTATTACATTACAAAGATATACATGTATCGCGATATCTCGAATATCGTAGCGACTAAAACATGAGGCGGCCTGATGCAGCACATTCAGTTGTCTAAGAACATCAAAAACGAGAGATTCAGCTGGGTTCCAGGTGAGTCTCTCGAAAAACCAACTTAGTTTGCAAATGAGTGTATAGTCGCTAGAAATGCGATTGTTGTCACAGTTTATTCAATAACTCCAATCTCCAATAACGAGGTCCATACATGGTGCACCGCGGAGACTCCACAATCAAACAAACCGCATTTCTTCTTCACTGAAAACGTGGACACATACCACCGAAGCCGAGGTAAACAGTGACTCAGAGTGAGCCGTCTGAACCGGGACGGGAAAAAGTTAAACCGGAATTCCGAACACTATCAAAACGAAACAACTTGGAACTCATAAAGCAGGTGGATGACAATGAGTACAATGAGTGACAACGCATTGGTTGTTTATTTTTGTGGACTGACGTAATTTTAATACCTCCCTACAGACTGCAGTGAGAGTTTAGAAACGCATCAATCTAAAAGGAAGCACCCTCTGCTAACGGCTTGCTGCAAGGCCAAAACTGAACATAACTTTTGCACACAGGAATGAGAATTTGTCTTTAAGTTGCCGCAAAGTACGTAATCTAACCATCCTGGAAATAGAACCACAAAAAATTATGGCATGGTAAATGCTCACTGCACGAGAACTCTGTTCGTGCACCCTAGAAAACCCACTGAGATTAACGTCAAATCGATGGTTCACGGTCCGATGATCAGGTGACGATCGATCTGCTTGTTGAGCCTCATGTGAACAGAATAACTGTCGACTGCTTTCCATTCAGTTAGTGTACTTTGAGTGTCACTAGTTCGAGACACTGCCATTACCTGTTCACCAAATCAGCCATTTAGAAAGTATGCGTCCGCGAGTACTTTGTGGGAAAATTTTTAGACTAGCGAAGTTATGAGTGTCCAGTTTGAGTTCAGCACATTGAGAGTTTAGCGTTAGTTTTGTCCTAAAATTAGCTCGAAAGATACTGCGGCTGGACAATACATTATGTCCTCTGTATACTCGAAGAAAACAACTGAGGGCGATAGTGTTCTACAGGTTGTCTTCAAACAGATTATTGCCATCAAACCCTCTTATTAGAATGGGATTCGTTTCACGAAAGGTCGTGAGCCTGATAGAGTATTGTAGTACTAACGAACTTTTACGTAGAGGGGTTACATTGGGTTTTGTTAGTTTGTTCATGAGTCTGAACAGGAAGGAACCCACGCAGGACAGGATTCGCAAGAACCGCTGACCAACTGTACAACTTTCAATGATTAATTTTGAAGGGAGCGCCCGGTGGACAGCTCAATTAACTAAAACATTTGGATGTTGGATGCTTAGAAACGTATGTACTCACTGACAGTCGAGCGAAAAACTGCGGGGATGCTTTAGAAATCCTGGAGCACCTCCAACACCAATTGCTGTTCAACGTCATTTGAAAAGTGCAACCTATTTACCTTAATGTTTGGTCCGTGTCAGGAACCGTTAACCGAAAGTTGACTTGGTGCGCAGTGAAATAAACTGCGGAAACAGACCGATCTCATTTGGGCTGATTCGAAAGAAGGTAAGCTTTATGTTAGGACCTGGCTATTAGCAAACAGTTCAGCAAAATACACTTACCAAAATTCACCGTCATTTTGAAACTGAACTTGTAGACTGGACTTGTCCGCCTCACTCACACCTTCCCATTCCGGAGATCTGTCTGACCAGGGCCCACGCCATTCTTGACAGTCGGCCCATGGGCTTCGGCACCGAACAAGGTGCTGGACATCGCCATGATAGAGAACCTGAGAGAAGATATCAAGTTGAAAGCACCACTGTGGTTAAATAGAGCCCGTAGTTAAAAAAAGGCTGATAGATGGTTCATCCCGTGTATGATCCTGTGAGCCTATGGAAACAGGTGTCGTTTTCATACTATTGTCATCGATGATTGCCTGATCGATGCACACTGGGAACGGGAGTGTGGGATCTCAGACAAATATTCCAACCGTTTTTATGACTATGCATTCAGATCCACAGTTCAACATCTAATGTTGGCCGATCAAACACCCTAAAGCTCGATCAACAAGTCTTGTGTACCCATAGTTCACTTTTAGATACACTCATAGTGCGACAGTGTCCCAATCTGACTGTTAAGGAACTGAATTCTGAAATGTTTCGGACAGCGTGAGTTTTTTCTTGAAGTATTCCATCCAACTTTTTAACCATTTATTTCAAACACTCCATGTCCAAGCAGAACATAAGGTTGACGGTGGAAACTCGGGGACTGCGCTTACCTGATGATCCCCAAGCGGACGGGCGAAAGTGGGCTGCCGAAGAGTTTTCAGCAACCTTGTGAGTACACTTCATATTTACTTTTTTTAACTACAATAACAACTATCAATCGAAAACATATTTCTGAAATCGTTTGAGGCTATATGCCTCGGTCTTCAGACAAACCAACCAAATCTGTGTGACTGTGAGTTTTGTAGCATAGATGTATGCTATTCAACACATGAATGTAGATACAAATATCCACAAGATGGAAAGGCTTCCAAGATGGAAAGGTTTCCCGTGAGTAGCGGTCTTTCTTTGAGGGGATATTTCTTGGGGACTTCGCGGTTGTTCGCATTCGGGTATGGACGTATCTGGTCATGTGAACACGCCACAACTTTGAGGTGGATTCTTTCAGTTTTCTGGTCGAAGAAAATTCCCTGGACTATGAGTTAATGCGTTAGATGATGATGCAAACTCAAACACCGGAGAGGAACTCCCTTAAAATTGGAAACGGTTCTCAACAAAGTAGTTTGTCTATCCGAACAATGAATATAATCAATTTTGAGGCGTGGTTCAACACCTCCAGGAAATTGTATGTTTCGATTGTTGACCGTGAATCTGTGTTAAATAGGTTGTGAGGTTTTCACAAGGGAAACTACTCACAAGGTTGCTGAAAACTCTTCGACAGCCCACAACCGGTTTCGCCCTTCTTGGGTCTCAACAGGTAGGCACAGTCCTCGAGTTTTCGTCAATCTTATTTTCTACTTGAGGTTCTACTTCTGAGGTTATTCAAATTAGTACCCTGTCTCCTTCTATTAACCTATATTTGTGCCGTGTCGCGTCAGTTATCAGTACATATGGTGCCCATTCTGATAGTTCCACGTACATTCCGTGGTTTGGACGTTTGGTACTGATCCCCTTTAGATCTCATGCGGGCCGCCTTATGTTGAACTCACGACTTGATATTCTACTAGTTTGAGAAATCTACAGGGGATCGTTTCCTTGAATCCTGTGATATAAGCTTCACGGGCTCGGTAGCATTCTTGCATTCGTAGAATTTGCTCCATTTGTATACGCCAATTTCAGCAAAATAGGCTCACCAAACCTTACGAAGATCACTGTAAACCCTTGGGTAGCTCACCACCATTTTTCTTCACCTTGGATTTCACCAGGGAGGGAGAGATCCCATTAAACCTACGTTTACCCCCAAACGCCGAGTTCTATAATACACTCGCTGGCCAATGAGCGAATGACTTGAGTGAATTTTCACCCACAAAATTAGATGCGCCAGTTTAATGGTCTGTCAATGCTTGTAGTGTTTACTTTCAGATCCCCGATGTGTGCTAGGTTTGTCGAAACATCCTTTCCGCGACAACCTTCTGCTGTTTAGATTGTGAGTTGACGTTAATTTCATTAGTGATGTGGCCACAGTTCACAAAAGCCATAGTTGGGCTAACCCGGATATAAAATTTGGTCTCTATCGGCAAGAATGAGTGGAAAAAGCCGCCACTATTTAAGACGGCCTTGCAAGGACAAGAGCAAAATTTTATATGGGACGTTTCAAGCCGTCACTGACAAGTTCCAGATGAAAGGCATTTTTAGCTGGATTTTTGGCTCCTGCACATATGCTATGGGGGTCATCGAAAATCACTCGTCCGTAATTTTCAATTTTCTGGGGAATGTGTCTGTCTGTGCAAAATAAGCCGTATGAGGGGAACGGTCAGTTGAATAGGAGCAACTTTCAACGATTGCACTTGTTTACAAATGGGGAATTCGTTTGAGTCAGTCTCTAAAAGTAACAAAAATCGCAAGTCATTATGTCTGTTTGATAAAATATAGTTCGTCAGCTTGTCATTTAGTTTGCACACGCCTTATTACCGTTGATTTGCCGGTCGGTCCCTCTGATGGTGAGGAAACATTTGCAAACTAAGTGCCAAGCTCGAAAAACGAATCTACCGGCACCTGGGTCAACAACGTTTGAGTTGCCAGTTTTCCGACACATTGTCCGAACATCAGATTGATAGGAACTCTAGGACTCAGCCTTAAGGAAGGCAAAACCATCAGTGGGTTGTCAAAAACATTTCAGCAACATTAACAGTAACGAAATGATGAAGAAGGCTGCAGGGATCGTTCAGTTCTAACCAGGTCCATTAGATTGTCAGGAGGTCATTTTTGAAATTTCTCAGCGGGTTTCAACTTAAATAGCGCATGGATTGTCTGTAAATTAAGATCCATGTCCAATACAGCGGGATAGTCATCTGTTCTTTTGCTTTGCTTGCGCTGTAAAACAGGCAATCGATTCATTACGTTTCATTGAATTATGAATATCCAATTATTGATCACATTCAGCACTTAAGGTAAAAGCTAATCAGTTTGCAGACAAGCAAGCTATAAGTGAAAAGCCAAAGGACTTTGATATCTGCTCATGATAGAAGGTGAAAGAGACTTACGGATGCTATTCCAGTCACTCCGTAGGCGTGTCCCGCGAAGAGTCCGTTCTTAAGCTTCTGCTCTCCTGATTCTGACTGACGAAAACGAACATAGTGTAATGGTTAGCTGTGCTTTTACCACACTTTTGTTGCGAATTTCAGGAACTTTTTTCACGAAGAACAAATTTTTACCATACATCTCTCGCAGTGAAGTAAAGTCCTGTTCACTTTGAATTCATTGAATAAAAATGGTCGACACTATTCCTCTTTAAGAAAACACAGTTGTGGATACGCCGCGACCAAGCAAGTGATGTCCATCACCATGAATTGTGTGACTAAAGCGTCCTCAAATATGAATCCTAATGTTACCAAAAAACAGCATAGTACCCTTCAAGAAGAAACCCTGAAGAGGGAACTCTCTAGTGAAGAAAAATGAAAATATAAAGGCTGTAATTCAGCCTGTTTTCTAAGAGAAGAGCTGTGCAAAGCTTGAGCACGAGCTTTTGGTCAATTAGACGTGAAAACTCAGTCTGGATGAGCCAGCGTCAACCAGATCAGCTTCGCTATTCCGTTAATCATTCAACCGAATTTGTCGTATCGTGATTTCTTAGGGCACGATCAAACCTGGTTAAACCCAAGAAAGCTGTCGCAGTTTAAATCACTCCTGTTACGCGATTTGTCCTAGCCTGCTGAATTACAGTGGCCACCACTTGTCTAGATCTGGGACGAACACATGCAAGATCATAGCGGTCGATAATGCGGGTGAGGAACAGTCATCAAGTGCATGAGTCTTGGAAATCGCCAGCTATTTAGTAGTCTTATCAGCATACTGGTCAGCGACACTGTGTACGCCATAAATTGCCATTCGTTTTTACCAGTCTAATGGAGAGTAGTATTTTGCGGGTTTTTGGACCTGAAGACCACCGAAAGTCTTAAGTTTGCTTCAGTTAGCCTCGGATCCCACAAAAAGTTGTCCACTTTCAAAAAGTAAAGTTCAAGTGCTCGAATTGAGGAAAGTCTTTGATACGGCTTCCTTGGAATTAAAAATTGGTGTCGAATTTTGGGACTGAAATTTAATATCCTTGGAAATTAGAATCCCTTGCTAACGACCGATACAACCTGCAGAAGGTTACCGGTAATTGAAACGTTGGGAAGATAAAAAACAACTGAATTCGTTGCAGAATTGGTCCAGGAGAACTTTGAGGCAAGCAGTGATTGGCTGCGCAGGTCTTTCGAACACAAGAGCATACGTTGCAAATCTGTCCATGGGAAAACTACAGGAGTGTCATTTTCCCTAACTGCTGATGGTTTAAGTAGGCGGCAGGAATGGTGCGCACAGCTGAATGAAAGTCGGGGGTACAAGAACTAAAACTATGGACCGCCACATTCCTAAGTTACAATACAGCTGTAGCCCAAGGAATACTTCGGCCATTAAGTAGGGCGCCGGCTTCGTGTTTCTTAAAGTAACCAGAGGTATGACGCAGATTGGGCTGGCTGAATGAATGGGACAATTAGTTAGCCATTTAGAACCGAAAGCTGCTGTTGGTTGTCACACTGAGAAACACCAACTGAACAGTTACAGCATATTAGAGCAAAACTCTCATATGCATCTTGTTTACAAAACTGAATATCCATCTTCTCCTTGAACGCGTCTTCTTGAACTTTCCTCGATGTCAATGACTGTTACTCAAATGCAAACAAATGTTAGAAGGGGCTCCAGAAATTCCCTAATAGCTCTCACTTTTCAGGAGGAGTGTAGCGAATTCATTAGAAGGCACTACTTGCTTGCATCATCAGTAGTGTCCACTGTGACACCATTAGTTAGAACAACAATTAACGTTCCAAAGATAAACCACGAAAATTTGTGCTACAACCACTCAGCTTGGTAAACGATCTGATGGATGAGTTGCTTTTTTAACCGTTTCGCCCACACCAAACCGTTGAGTATCAATCCTTTAGGCAACTGAAACGTTGGCAATGATCGGAGCGTGTTTTTCGCTCTCAGTATTTGGAAAAGTAGCAATAAAACAGCGTGCTAACACGGTGTCAAGTCACTCAAAGAATGCCAAGATAAATAATCCGGGACAAAGTGTAGCACAGTGGCTGCTGCAATGACGACTGAACGTGGACGAAGCTCTTGGAGTTGTGGATTACGTTTGAAAGAAAGTGAGAAGTGGGAATACAAACGTCACAGGTTTCGACGATGAACAGGTCATGGAGCGTAAATGGTCAGTCATTTGAAGGAACGATTGTCGTTCACTTACAATTCTGTCTTCAACTTAGGCAAACCACACACAAGCACAAACCTTTAATGAGTCCACCCTATGGATGGATATGGATCGCCAGAATTTAGGCGGTGTAGAATAAGGATGAAGGAGGTATACTTCGCTTAACTGAACTCACAGAACGATTGAAATTCTAAAAATCAAGTCAAACTATCGTCAAGTATGTCATGATAAATTTGACATATAGTTTGACCCCTTTTTCAAAAGACTATGGATCACTTCCAGCGCCAAAATGCAACAACTCACCCGTATACTGCACCCCATAACAACGCAACGTTTCGAGTTAAGTTGCATCATGCGTAGTAGGTCCGGTGGCCTCCGACGTTCATCCAAATAAATCGTTTCGGCTAAACCACCGGTACAATCTTCCATCGCTTCACTTTGTAGACCACCGTTCAAACTCGCATAGGAGCCGTTTAGTCTAAAATGTCAAGTAAGATGAATCTTGTGCCGCAAATTAAAGGTAGACTAGGTGACCTAGGGTATAAGATTTCAAGCGGATTACGATATATAGTGATACAAAAGTAGTATGTGTAGTACAGTAGTATATGTAGTATGCATGGTATTATGTATGTGTGGTATTATGTATGTATAGTATAGTATGTATAGTATATATAGTATATAGTATGTAGTATAGTGTGTATAGTATATAGTACCATAGTATGTATAGCAGTAGACAGTACTGTTATCGTTAGATTTCGTGATATAATGGACACAGCCTTCACCTTAAACGTATACGTATGTCTTAACACGCCCCACCAGGTTTAGACTAGTGACTGTGGAAACAAGAATGTGAGCTTGTAATGCATCCCAAAGTATTCAGAGGGCATTCACGCAGCTTCGGGAGGAACAGAATGGACGCATTCACTGGATGCGTACCCCGCAACGATTGCTACAGATAGTAATGGGACCTGAATCATCGGGGTCCAACTGCGGTTCACATTGCAGATCAATCAGATTCATTTAATTAGTGTGCAGAGACTCGATATTCAAAGGAAGGACCTTTGCTGGTTGACCGTTACAAAGAAGCGGTTGATATTGACCTGTAATACATAAAATGTTGCGTTTCCAGAAGCGTGCAGGCGTAATAAAGCTAAAACACAATCTTTAACTCAGTAACTTGGGGATGATACCTACGGAAAACTGTGAAAAAAATCCCACTCACTTTGCATAGGCTTTCTCGCACAATGCAGACCAATATTCGTTGTTGGTCGGTGAAGACATGAAAACCAGGCGATTCGAATGTTTGTACACTGGTAGTCGATCATCCACCATAACCTCGATCCACCGTCCGAAACGCCAGAAACGAGCCCGAAAAATTCCAACATAATCAGGTAGGTCGACCTCTTGCTCAGGTGGTACTACTTGGTTTATCAAGATCGGATAGCAACATATGGATGATAGGACCGCCAGTAGCCAGCAATCACCTGAAAGTAATCCCAGTTTTAGGGAAATAGTTCCTGATTCAGATTTGTGCTCATCACTTTGTAAACTTTCTGTTTTCTTTAAGCAATTATCTATGGAATTCGAATATCTCACAAGCTATCTTACTGAAGGCTGTGGGGGTACTGAGAGGCCTGCAGGTTTAGGTATTATGCCATGTATACTGACAAGTATCTAGATGTTTATATAGGCTTTGGAGCAGAATGTTGTCTTCGATCAATGGTCCACTACTTTGCTGCGTCACGTGCACAAGGCTGGTCAAGTGGCGCAATCCTTATACCGTAAAACCTTGTCGATATCTTTGCATGATGACTAGTCCTCACTGAATCCGAATATCTGAGCCGTTTGTTAGGCTGAATTCTACAACTGCTAAAAATAGTATTTGTCTGTGAAACTGCCATGTCAGACGACTTGGGTTTTTAAGTTGCGAGCCTCGAAGGATGTTGATACACAATATCGTGTCTCTCAACCGACCGTTTCACTTGTTCCACCACGTCAAGCTTTTACTGTGGGGTTCAGACCGCAGTTCAACATCTTACAGAATATATCCAGTTGCTAAATAGTACATGGGAATTGAAGGAAATGTTGGTTCGTTTACTGAACTTGGCAATTCGATCGCGAATGTTTCGTCACCAATCGAGGTGCGTTGTCAGGGAGCATACTGGAACGTAGTGATGGATCGACGGTTGTGCCAACGACCACTGAGAAATGGTATGCTTATATCGGTCTGCTGAATTTAGCCAACAGAAAGTGGACATTGTAGTTAAACATCTGTTAACTCATCGGTTGTCGTACTAAAATGCTACTGTTCCAGTTTGTCTTTCGTGGGGACTCATTCATCAATCATCGATTTTTATGAAGTTTACCTTTCTGGGGCTCTCCACGCCTACAGATTGGTTTCCGCACTACTTCCAAAATTTGCTTGTAGGATTTAGTAATACGACTAATGAGGTAGCTCCCCTTTGATTTAAATCACTTTAAATGGTGAAATTCTGATAGGAATACGGTGAGGAAGCGCGTAGTAGGATTGGTTGTAACAATCGAGTGTAACACGTGACAGAGAGATTCTTAGACGTGCGGGTTTCCTGTCATGACAAGAATAGACCTGCCCTTCAGTGAACTGGGTGAATGAATCATTACACGTATATGTGCTTGAGTTCCTAGACGAGCTAACGTACTACTGAAAACCAATAACAACGACCTTTCTCAAAAATTTGTGTAAATTCCTCAGTTTTGTCTGTCAGGACACTAGGCCAAACAACAACAAAACAGTTTAAAAAACCGAACTTCACTGTGTTGGAAAGAGGGATTTTCAGCTTGGTGTAGCAGGTCATGTATCACTGCTTCGAGGTTTTACAAAGGGACAGATTTAGCTGTACTTCGTCAATGTACGTCACGTGAAGAGCACGTGTCTGGTTCCCATGGAACACAAGTGCGTCAACCTCGTAAAAATTAAAGTTTTGAATCGTCTGAATTATTGGTTTCTGGGTTCGAGCCACAGCTTAAACTCAGCAGAAAAGTTTTGCTGCTATGTAATTTATTTCACCAAGATAAGCAACTATCAACAGGGATCACTTTTAGCCATTGGTTCGTCTGCAGCCTGATCAGCCCAACTGCGCTACCTGAGCCACCAACATTTTACTCTATCAATGATCAGAATCTAGCACACTGATGGATAAAAAAGTACCGTTTGAGGGGCGCTACTCTTCAACAATAGTGCTGGATGGATCAATGCTCAATAAATAATTATATGCCCGATTCTCGCTGAATTTACCCCTCCCCTGTGAGGACTAAAATACCGATCGATAACTTACCTAGTGCTCCTTGTTTAATATCACAACGAGCTGGTCCATCCACGAAGAATCTAGCATGTGGGTTGATATCCTATAAAGCAAGACCAACACAGTTATTCATACCCGTTACGTCATAGGAAAAGATCAGGTTTAATTCTCATGCGTTCACGCATGAGTAGCTACTATCCTTTTTTCCGTTTTGACTTGGATTTCTTCCACATTCCTGACAATATCCAATTCCAAACGAATTTATTTAATGGCTTGTTTGATATGGTTCGCTCCAGCGCAAATCGAGACAGTATGAAACTTCTCTCGTCATTCGCACTCAGAACCTTCCCGATACACCTGAAGGGTTAATCACTGTTTGGAATAATTCACAACTTTTTGATAAAAAAGTTCTCAGCAAAACAGGATGGAGGACGTTAAGACTGTTTTACCTCAGTTAATCATACATCATCCGAAGGTTTTTTGATAAAGCTTTGAAATCCTGTGGATGAAGTTAATAAATCCATCCGTCCTTATGTCCGGAACCGTTAGACCAGGTGACTCGCTGTTTCTGGACATAACTCCTGTTCGGTCGCATCAAAAGGTCATTTCATAGCTTCAGTGTGTTTGTTCATAAGTCAGCCTGCAGGTGGCAATCCATGTCTCTGAGGTTGAGTGCCTCCGCCTTCTCTACCGTGTGGATAAACTTCCTGTTCTCACGTAATGCGGAACCAATCCAACAACAAAACGATGCAGTAATCGATTTGACATAGAGTCTCGTGTACGGGAATTTTTTCTACGTGGCCGGTTTTCTTGAAATTTCAGTCAAGTGATTTAGTTAAATGCCAAAAGGAACCGTTGATTTTTATCTTCTAAGTTAGAATAACCTCTGAAATCTTAGATGTCTCTCCAATTTCTGAACGCGCACTCAATCTCGTTTATGATATAAGAGATTCAGTTGAATCTCTCGTGGAAACCAACTTGATTTGCAAATGAGTGTATTTCTCGAAAACAGTCCAATTTGGATTCAAGTAGAACATAAGGTTGACGGAAACTCGGTGAGTGCGCCTACCTGATGAGCCCCAAGAAGGGCGAAATCAGTCGTGGGCTGTCGAAGAGTTTCCAGCAACCTTGTGAGTAGTTTCCTTTATGTAGTATACTTATTTTGGGTTATCTGTGGTATCAGTGCGTAGGCGTATCAGTATGTAGATGGCTCAAAGAAATTTAGACAGTAAATCATTTGAATTTGAAACACATGAATGTAACTGCTTAATTTATGAAAGATAATCAGCACTGCGAATTTGGAGCTTTTTGATTGTTTTGACCCAAACAAAAGCAAGTACGAGGATATAAACATATGTTCACTTGAATCCGTCTCTAAGCATCTCAAGGTTCACGCAGGATGCACACGACATGAAGCAGAACTCGTGTGATTGTTGGCAGTTTCCCCCGCCCCAGAATGATTAACCTTACTGCATGGCTTGAACTTTCTCATGGTTCTCACTGAAAATGACTTTCAGCGTTTAATTCATTTGACGGTACGTAACTCCAGTCGCATGGTCATGAATTATGGTTCTTGGGAGTTCTCTTTCCGCTTGAGCGTATGCTGACAATAGAGTCCTAAAGAAACTTTCAGAGGAATCCTGTTTCATTGTTGAAACTGGTCCTTATTCAACCAAATATCTTATGCGTTTCGAACAAGTCTGAATGAAAGATTGTACGGGGTGTCTCATAATAAACGCAAACGTTGATTGGGTAAGTAAACGTAGTCAACTAGAGAAAAGATAACGAAATGTTTTACTATTAGTAGTCACATAAAGGAGGTGCGCGAGCGTTGACATTTTTTTTTGTTTACAATGGACGTCAGTACGCGCATTGAAATTTTGAAACTCTATTATTCCCTTTGTGAAAGCGCCACAGCCTCAATTCATGGTTACAAAACCAAACGTGGTCTCATCAAAGATCCTTTCACCGTGTCGACCATTACACGCTTGGATTGCGAAATTGAGTCCACTGGATCTGCATCAGATTTTTCTGGCAAAGGGAGAAAGTCACTGAGTGATGAAAGAGCACCCATTCTACAGAATGCCGTCGAGCGACTTCAGTTTCGGAGTACCATGGCTTCTTCGTCAATAACTCAGGTGTCCCAGATGACCGGCGTCCCCGGAGCCAGCGTGCATCGTATTATGACGCGCCATCTTTATCTCTTGGATAATGATCAAGGCTCGCGTATATCATGAAAATAAACCGAAGATTTTGTGGAGTTAAGAGCAAGAATTGAAGAGGGGTGTACAAGAGTGACGCTTGAAAAAGTTAAACATGCTGTCTCATCTCATACCGCCCCCAAAATGTTATAGAAAGAGGTGGCGGTTTATTCAGAATTTTTTGTAATGTCAGTTTACTTACAACAAACCTCCATAATGCGTGTATATTCACATAAAAATAATAATTGTTTAAATTGATGTTAAATTTTTAACGTGGGTATTATTTTTGCGTTTATTATGAGACACCCTCTAGATAATCCTGCAAAAGACTAGTTTTTGTATATCCTCAAGGCTGTTCTCAGCAGCTACGTCGCGAAAGAACCCACATTATTTGGATTTTATGCAGTGCTTTCTGCCAGACAATTCAAAGATTAACAACTTACTCTGACGCGCTTCCAAATGATCCGGTCTTTTAATTCTGGAAGATCTCCAATCGAACTCTCGTCTGCCGGAAAATCAGGATCACACCATAGGAGTTTGTCCTTCAAAAGTTGTTCTTGTAACTCCTGATATTCTTCCTGTGCCAGGGCCATTTGAAGCTTCATCTGGAAGAGACAATGACAGCATGCGAGTTAGAGAGTGCCGACTGTTAGAAAGGTTTACTAACCGTACGGCGAAAAGAAGACAATCGTTTTTCAATTCTGTACGGAATACAATTCCTGCAATCAGAAGCGTGTATGGTTTGTTTGAAACAGAACAACTGTTAATTGCTTGCCTGAAAAACTTTGGAAATAGGGAGCACGACTGAAGTTTGATCCATGGACGTTGAGTTCACATTTGCTAAAGTTTGATGCATTTGCTGTTCCTAGTAGAAGCGCGACAAAATGAACACAAAACCACCGAAGTTGATTTCGATGGGTCGTGTTTAGTGAGGTGGACACTCAAAATATGATCCTATAGATTCGGGGTCAGGTTAGCGGAGTGACTTGAGTCCACCTGTAGGTTACACTCTTCACTTCGTATGCTGAAACCGACGAAAACCTTATCAAAACTCACACTTATTTATTGATACTGGTTCGCCCGAAAGTCTAAATGTTCAAAATGAGGATATACTTCCATCGTTTGTTCAGAAAACAAGTAGTAATGTACAGCTTACGCTCAGCGAAGACTGAAGAGCTGTATATAACTTCTAAGCTTTTCAGCACAGACTGACTGCAATTGAGGAATCTCCCGGAAAATATTTCCTCCATACAAGAAACGGTGGCTCTCCGATCAGACACTTCATCCTGGAGATTATAAGCATCCCTGCTCAGAACCCGGCAAACCCTTCTATCTCAACGCGATAGATTACTTTGGAGTCGAGCGTGATATAGCATCGGCTAACCAATTTCATGCACAGATGTCTAGAATAACCCGCACAAAGCCGTTTGGCAATTCCCTCTCCTCAGAAGAAAGTGGAAATCAATTCCCTTGGCTTTTCTATTCGTTTCCTTCACATCCCCGCTTCCGTGCTCTAGAATATGGCGGATGTATGATTACGCTCTTGGGTCAGTTAATAAGGTGGTGAGATCGTCCGTGGTTGTCTATCAGAGCTGAAGAGGCTGTAGCTAGCCACATAGTTCGATGTGTGGCTGACACCGGCACACGCTGTGCATACTCAGGACTCAACCCCAAAGGGCTAAAAATCACCGTTCAAACTACTCCGAGCACTACGACATCTAAATGCGCCACTGTCATGACTGATAGTAGACCGAGTCACTGTACGGAGACCAGCCGTCCCTAATAACCGAACATCACATCATTTGGACGGATGTGTCACGTGCAGGACACTAGGTATGCCCTGGCTGGTCAGAATGCCAGCCAATCCGGATCGAGCATCTTTGACTCGACGCTTCTCGCCCCCTCACGGTGATTCTAGAATAACCTTGTGTAACACTCTGTGATCACCCTATAAATACAGATGTAGTGATTCACCTTTTGTCTCCATAAAGGTCTGTCTAGAGCTACCGTGCCTTCTGATATACCATACTGGGCGGAGCTGGAAGCCAAGGGCCCGGCACAGAGTTGCACTACCGTTCAGCAAGACACAACAGTTACTCAGCTGTTTGTCCAAAAATACTTTGCGCTCGCAAACCACGCTACGCCTTAATACATGTGGATACCTCAAATCACCCAGAGCCATTATGCCGAATGATGACGCCTCATCCAAATGACAAAATGAAACTAGAAAGAATTCCCGCAGATCGCTGTACTGAACTATATTTTATCTTTCTTGATTTAAGTCATAATCATCAAAATTAAAAGTTTTGAGAAGACTTTTTTTAAAAAAAACAGATATTTCTTTTGATATAATTGAGTTAGTTGTTCAGGAAGTTCAAGTTTGCGAATGTAAATGTTCTGATTTTCTTCACCAGCAGTGTGCCATATTTTGTGACTGTTTTGAAAGCAAAGCCTAGTGGTGACTTGGAGACAATCGCCACTGCGATAGTGTATTGACGGGTTACCTCTCAAGGATACCATAATCTGGCTGGGAGCTGTAAAATGTGACTGTCGATACGAATTGTACTCTCTCCTGAAAGATGTCAACTCCTTGAACGGTTAGTTTCAGGGTATGAAAGTTCCGTTAGTTGGCTATTTGAACTTTGAATCTAGACTCACTTTTATATAACCGACGGGGGTAAGCGTGGAAGGGATATTGAGAGGGACTTCTAGTCGGCCGGCTTCGTTCATGAACGGCTGCGCTGCAATTTCTGCGGTATGTGGTTGGTGAGAAAACAAAGACACCATCAGTAATAGGGTGGGGTCAAGGGCCACAAGTATAAGTACCGAGAAATCTACACGCTAACCCTGCACTCCTAAAAGATAGACAACAATAGTTATCATGCTATGCGGGAAGATTTGTAAATGATTGGCACCAAGGACAGCGAAGACTCAAGTTTCGAATTCCATGGTCTCTCACGGGCCTGCACCAACATTTCAGGTTGGTTAATAGCAGCTGGTGACCAGAACGACTACTCAGCTAATACGTCACAAATAGCTATCAGAAAAAGCAGACCATTTCGCTATTTTACACGGTGCGTAGTGAACGATAGACGGTATACCGTGATTTACTCTACGGATACCTCCACAGTCCGGGTTCTCTCATCACTTCGAAGCACACTGGTTACTTCAGGAAACGTGAATTTCAAATATTTTACTCTTTCTTGCAATTTGCCATGGGATTTTCTCCACTATCGATGTAAAAAACAGGCCTAACATAACTTCCTAGCTGGATATACCGGCCATCTGGTCCAACACTAAACTAACAGACATTTTTGGGAAAAATGGGTAAGCTGTAGCACCCTTTCGTTGCCAAACTGCAATGCCGCCAGAAGGAAGCACAGTTGCTGGGATGCTGCCAGGTTGACGAAGCCTAGATAGGGTAAGTCGAGAGGCAGAGTTTGGGTTCGAACCACGGGCCCTTCGGTCGGTGAATTCGCGCTCTATCCACTGAGACGTCTTCCCCGGACAGACACTTATCCATGTCGCTCTCGAGGGACCCACTTAGTGGTTTGTTCAGAATCTATACCTAATATTTCTTGGGTATTTGCTTTTATTGGTCACTTTCCGCTTTCTAAATTATCCGCGGTGATAGTCCTACAATTGTCACCATCAGAACCGTGACAGTGATGAACATTCAGCTGAACTAAATAATTCCAACTTACACTCACGTGATGATCACTGTTCAAGCGTCTCGACAATTTCCACCGGTTCTGTCGTGTTTGAATAACGCTCACACTTCAGGTGGACAAAATACATCCGTTGGAGTACTAGCGACGCATTAAGAACTCGGCATCAAGCTACACGTCATCCTGTTCTCATAATCTCACTCACCTCAGTGGACTGACGAACGCTCAGAGAGTGAACAACCTTCACATAGTGCTTTACTCAGCCTACGTTCGTTGATTAATGGAATTCAATTCCATAAATTAAATTCCCTTGCATGTACACTATGATACAGATGTTTCATGCTCATATAACGGCGTGAAACCTTAACTGTACGGCAACACTGGGAATTTCCAACTGAAAGAACATCAGAACCAACACAAGGAGTTATCTGATGATCATTTCAGTTAATTGAGAACGCACATTGTTGTCCCGAAAATCTGTTGCTCCATCGAAGCCTTCACGACAACAGGTTTTTGGCGATCTTTCAGCGGTCCAGTTTTCACAACCCACTTTTGTGCTTCTGGGCACACCAAAATGAACGGCTGTTGTTTAATTGGATAGTTTACGTAGAGAGTCAAGCACGTTTCTAAAAATGTGTTGTAATTGGTGTCGAACTGTAACAGATGCATCCTCTGTTTGACCGAGTAATTAGTGGGCATATTATTTAGCTGAGAACTGCACGCCAAACCAGAACGGTCCGGGCCTCCTACTTCAGCGTGCGACAGCTGCGAAATTATACTGCGATATATTGAATATCTTGCCAACTGAATCATAAGGTGGCCTGTGTGCAGCACATTCAGTTGTAGATTCAGTTGAGTCTCTGGTAAAAACCAAATTGATTTGCAAATGAGTGTATTTCTCGAACACATATATCATCTTTTCGCGTAGAGTTGTAGAGGAAAACTGCTCTGATGTTCGGTTAGTGTAAATCTCATTTCACCACGAAAACTAGGTGCCGTTAGCTGGCTATACAGGTTGTGTTGTGAAGATTATTGAATGTTCTTCTCTATGACGATAGATGATTTAGTCGCGCGTCGCAGAAGGCAAATAAGGTCGGACAAACGTTCGTTCTGTTGGCCAAGGTCTGGAACACATCTCATGAAGGTCAAAGCAACAACACCAACAAACAAACGGATCACGTGATCATCAACCGTAAATGTTTTGTCTTTGGCATACACAATGGAGGGCTTTCAGCGTGTTGATCAGGTGGACTAGCAAGCGTTTGTTTAGGTTGCAAGGAACATATCCGTGGTTAAGCAAAAGTCTTGTCAGTAAGTAATCTAGTATTTGAGGGGTTGACAGATTAGCTGCTTTATAGACTAGAGGCAGACATGTGTGAGACTCTTAACTTACTGTAGTTGGTCGGAACTTTGCGTTGAACAATAATAAGTCTTGGTTCGGCACGGTCTTTCACCAGTTTCAAATCCGGGTCGATTGAAGTGGTTGAAATTCGGTTCTATTCAAAAAAGAAGAAAGAAAAACTCAGTGAAATTCTCGCTGAAACTAAGCATACGTGGTTATGATTTACTGTCCAGCGGGAAATACAAATTTTTTCACGTTTGGAAGTTTTCCAAAGCTGACTACCTACAGTCAGTTACAGAGAGGACCCAGAGACTAAAGAATCCGAGCAACCAAGTGTAATGAAATGAAGTTTTGAAATACACACCTGTGATAAGCTTCGGATAAATGTACTACAATCGATAAGTGGGCTTGTGAGAGGAGATACACACAGCGGTAGAATCCCGCTGGCTATGCGGAAAATCGAATATGTTAAAGATATAGCTGGGCATTTCGCCCAACCTATGGATTGCCAGTTGATCGGATTACCAGTTAAATCGTCCTTTCCAATAGAAATTAACCTCTGAATAACTTCAACAAGTGGTGAAAGTTCCGTTCAAAACCTCCCAGGGAATGTCTAGTTCTGGCTTCGGAAGTAAACCTTCTCTATTCATAGGATAAAGAAGTTAGGCTTCAATCTACCCATAAACAGAGTGTGACTGGTAGCCTGCAGCGTCGCGATGTTTTCCTCCCGCAAGAGTACCGCGAATATATAGCGATGGTCTTGCAAGGTCAGCAAAATACATTCGAATAACACATTTCACGTTCTTGTTTGTTCTAACTGTGACTTAAGCAGAACCTAACGAAATGACAAGGTAGTCCCCACCAGGCATGTATATCTTAATTTCGGACCATTCTCTACATTTTTTCAGTAGATAGTTGTTGTCGGTGGGACCTGTTTGGACTAACAAGGAAAGCAAAAGGTCCCTCACCTTTGTGAATTTTCGCGCAGCAGAGTCAAAGCTCATGTCAACCACTGAAACTTTCCAAAGAAAATTCAATTATTTAGATTAGGTAGCGCTACGGAGGATGAAGACTGATCGGAAACATCGAATAACTATGGAAAACCGATTTGTTACTCTGTATTACAGAATTTAGTGGCTGGCTAATTTGAGGTCAAGAGTATGATCTGGAACTAAAGTGCTTGTCATGAGATAGTAAACTGGAAAGTATGTAGCATCTGTGTAATAAGAGTATATTGCATTCGAAACAACGCCCGGGGTTCACTCTGGCTACCGCGGCTTGATAAAGGAACCGATCTGTGCGTATTGAGAGTCTGAGATATCTGGTGACAATCGTTTTGGTTGTATTTGACTCAGTGTAACGTTGATACTAACTACTGACGGGGATGCACCCGACTAGTACGTGTTATTCGTGAAATTTGGCTTTGCGTCTTTTGAAAAGGGGAGATGTGTTGCGGAATTCGTGGAGCCGCTTTGTAACATTTGCTTGGATTTGAGCGAGGAATGATTGGAGTCATTGAATATCCAGGAAAGTTCAAGAAGACGCGTTCAGGAGAAGATGGATGTCCAGTTTTTGTAAATAAGATGCGAATTAGAGTTTTGATTCCCTGTCCAATGGCCTGTTACCGGTCAATTGGCATTTCCTAATGAACAACTACGCAGCAAAGGCCTTCTTCCTTTCAATGGTAGTGAGGCCCAGATGCGAATCTGTCAACCGGTTCATTTTGTGATGGGTCCCAAACAAGTAGGGTGCCAAATATAACACCGGAGGTTTCACATTCCACCCTATTATTGTTGATAGACTTGTGAATTTGGGTTTCCCACTCAGCTGCTAAGCTGATCCCTAGAAGTCGAATGCCGAAAGAGCTATAACATGCAGCATATATTGGCATCTGTATTCGGAAAAAATTTTCATAATCTGTCACACTTATGTTGAGATTCTTTCATACTTATCTGAATTCATCATTTGTCTGGGCGCTTTCGGTTTTTTAGTTCCTTCGTCAAGGCTTTAGGCTTCGTCTTGTTGCATTTATAGTGCGGGCGGAATATGCACAAAATCCTGGTCAATGGCTGGACGGTGTTGCGTCGATTTTTCGGCGCTCCCGCATCTTTTATATTGAGGTCCAGCGTTTATTTCTGTTGGTGGTATACTTAACGGACTTCGGGAGATATGGGTTCACGAACTCCGCAAACCGCGTTATGTTAACTCATCAATCAAACAGCCACCTCCCATGTGTTTGAAAGCCTCGCAAAATCTGCCTAAACCTCAACCAACATGGAAATTTGTCATGCTTCTTGAAGTGCCAATTCAGAGTAGAAACTACAGGTTCAATACTACATGACTCATGGTTTTCAAGTAGTTGAACAAATGAGTTCATATGCTCTAACTTGTTCGACATGATGTTATTTTGTGATCTTTTTTCAATTTCTTGACATCCGCATCATCGCCCTCCAACAAGAAAATTTATCGTATTTACATACTTAATATCTGTTTACCTTTCCATGAATGTCTCCAAAAGATCGCACTTCCTGTCCACGCTGTGAAGCTGTAGAAAACCAGTCGTCTGCGATTGCGTTCAAATCGCATTGAGTACACGAGATTTACAGTGGTCGCTTATTTGTGGCGGATAACGGTGATGTCCTACTGCGCATAGAAAGATGGCTATCCTATCGATTTTTGATATTGATTTTTACACCCCGATCTTGGTGCTGCCACCTTCTGTTAAATGGGGGACTTTAAAGTACAACAAGATTACTGTTTGATTTAGCGTTGTGGAATACATTCCTTTGTGTTTGCTACAACAGCCCAGTGACCGGTGAAAACTTTTAATGCATTAGATAAAAAGTGCCAGGTTTGCAGCCATTTGACATACAAATGTGAATTCTAGTTGTCTTTGGAGAGCCGCATATTTTATTTTCGCCCTTCAGTTCATTTGTTTCCCATTTGGGATACTCAGTTAGCTAGTCCACTTTGAAAAAAATGATGAAGGTTCTGCTGCTCCAAGCACCACTACAAAACTTGTCGTGGTCCTAATAACTATATAGGAAGTAGGCGCTTTCATTTTCAAGTATGGCATGAGAGATCGGATTGACTTTTAAACAAGTACAGGAAATCCACATAATTTTGTGTTCAGCTACTGAAATGCCGAGATTTTTCTCTGTGCATTGGATCTGCTTTTCTGTCCAGACCAGTATTTTGGTGCGCACATGGAGACAGACATTTCTGCTGCATTTTGTTCAATGACTGTGGTTGGTATATTCGTCAAACTCGTCACCAAAACAAGCTTGCATTCTACGGGACTAACGAGTGGATAGTAACATAGCGCTTGTAGATCAATAAACAGTGTTTTTTCTTTTGAACAGTCGTCCTTCTGAGGTGGCAGGATTATTCTGGTGGGTCCACACCAAAGCAGCACTTGACTCGGGCCTTGCTCTCATTAGAGCTCGTCAGCACTGCATGTCCAATGGCCGTGCCGTGTTTTGAACTCCGCACGTGTAACATGGATGACTAGCAAGTTACCAGAACTCTACCGGAGCACGCTGGACGTATCTGAATTTTCACATCTGTTCACGCCTGAGAGGTGTGAATGGTATGCTCAACTCCTTGAACGATGACTGTCTTGGTTGTGACGATCGACTGACCCACCTGTGAGGACTTCTCAGTCAGGTAGCGCCACAGACGGCCTGAAACCGCAGGACAATTTTCGATCGTGGCGAGATACACTCATTTGCAAAGAAACTTGGTTTCGCGAGACACCCGTCTGGAACTCAGCTGTATCTGTCGTTTGTGATCTCTCCAGGCAACCGAATGTGCTGCACCAGGCTGCCTTATGTTTCAGCTGCTACGATATTCGACATATAGCGATACATGTATATTTGTAATGCACTTCTCATAAAGTCGGAGAATTTTCAGCATTTTTTTAAATTTTCTTACGGGTGCTTGTGGAATTCGCACATTTAAACAGTAATCTTCGTGTCCTGGTTTAGTCATTTTGGTGATTCCACACCAAAAGGGGGAAGCCCAGGACTTGATTGCTCCAGTACAGGAGTCGTGTTTTTTCACGACTCCAAGCTAACTGGTTGCTAAAACGTCCCATCGAGTCACAGGCTTGAGTATGTTGTCGGCAAAACGTGATACACACGTGCTAATATAGCAGATGCTTTGGTCAGCCGATGACACTACTCTGGAGCTTACATATCCTCGTGTCATTCCATTGAATAACCTCGTGCAAATTTCCGTTTCACTCCCCATACGTATTTCCTCGTGGTCTGGAGCGCCCCGTACTTGTTTCATTCATCGGGCAAATTACTACACATATCAGTAAAATCCACATATCTTGGTTGTTGATCAGATGGCTATTGATCTGTTTGCCGAGCTTTGCAATTGATTTGCAAACGATTTGTCACCACACGGAGACACCATCAGTGCGCACAACCAATAAACTCACCCGAGCTACCTATATTTCAACACATTACAAAATTCACACTTCTAATGATGGAATTCAGTCCCACTTTGGTCCGAACGGACGGTTTCTGGTTTCTTAATTCGATATTCTGATATCCAAGCCCCTTTAAGATGTTCTTTTTGTACTAAACAGTTTCTTTTGAATTTGAGTACTTACAAGTTTAGTAGATTTCTCACGGTAATTTCCAGTTTCACCGAGGGCTGTTCCAAGCATTGCATTCTAACCGATCTATTTTCGGATTAGTTATTCTCCCTGAAATCTTTTTGAGTTCTCTATGTGGCATCGCGACTCCTCTCTTAAACTAGGAGGGATTAAAAGAGTATCACAAGCTCGATGGAGTAAGTCCCACCGTCGAACGGGGGGAAGATTTAGTCTGTAAGGAATTTACTTTTCTTTTGTGGTGGACTCGTGACCATGAAAAGATCAGATAGATTCTAAGATGTTCACATCCTCCCACTGTAAGGCGTTAACGAATTTTAATCGTTGAACATCAGACTGTTTCAGTTTACCAGAAAAAAGGGAGATAACTTGATCAAAGCAACTGAGTTTTTTGTCCAAGGATAACAAGCCGTTGGAATTAGAATGAGAATCACATCAGTCGTAATGAGTTCCCGAGGGTCTGCTATGGACTCTACATTTTGATATAGAATTCAGTCTGAGACTTTTATTCTCTGAACGGTTCATTGTCA